GGTCACGCAGCGAATCCAAAGTTGTTCATGTCCCATATGGCAAGCAACCCTTTCGTGGTTTGCAGAATCGTTGGCAACAACAATTCCAAGCAGGCAACCAGATCACATGATTCTGTGAGTTCTTCGCTTGCAGATTGATTTGTATCAAAATCTTTGTCTGGGCTTGGGCAATCACAGCCTTCAATGCCCACTTGAAAACTGGTCGAATGCCATTTGTGATTTGGAACTCGCCGTTTTGAGAAAAAAAGAGGTAGATTGACACTATTGACACCCCAGAAAATCTATGAAGGTCTAAACGCTCACAGTTCAAAGTTTTGCAGCTATTTCCCCACATGCATCCCTGTGCCAACTAGTGGCTGCATCAAACTCATTCGTATTTGTGCATGCGGCTCCATGTAGAAAGTAATTCCGTCACACGCCCCGTGGAAATAAACCATACAAGCCATAGTTAAACCTAGATTAGACACGTGCAGAGTAGGACTGACGTGTGCGAAGTTTAGAAGCAGCTGTAGACACAGCAGGTTTTGATTCGATAGGGTTTGATTAAGTTTCAAATCGATAAGATACGTTGCCACAGCTTCCTCATGTTTCCTTCATGTTGCGAGGACGCTCTTCGGAAGGCACCAGAGGCCGATGTGGAGAATCCGGGGACCGCATACTCTCGTGCGGCGGTGCATGTCAAGCAAAAGAATGATGCCGCTCAAAAGAATGATGCCGCTCAAAAGAACGATGCTGCTCAAAAGAATGATGCCGCTCCGCTCCTTCCACCAGCGACGTGCGGGCCTATGATCATGGATGAGGGTACTCTTTCCAACATCCTTTCCAGCAAGAAAAGCGAAAAAGACGGCGTAGAGGCGAGATTGCAGTGTTGGGATTTCCCAGGACAAGAAGAATACGCACTGCTGAACCAAATATTTTTTTCCGAGAGGGCAATCTACCTGGTGTTTTTCGACATGACTGGGAAGATGGATGAGGAATGGCGCCATATATGTTTCTGGCTATGGGCCATCGGGATGTTTTCAAAGAAGAAGAACGCAAAACCGCCTATTCTTCTTCTTGGGACTAAAGCTGGGGAACCACACGAATTTGATGTGTTAGAACTGCATAAGCGCCTTGAGGATTTGCAGGAAAAAGTCCCCTGGTTAACGGAACAGCTGCAGCTACATCCGAATGGTTTCTGGCTATTCCCCATCGAAAACAAAGGAACCAGTTCTGAGAAATTCATCCGCCCCTTGCGCCGGCACCTGCAACACATGGTGTTGCAATTTGTCACTCCACGTGACAGTTTGGAGGCCGATGATGATGCCGTACCAGGATTGGGAATGCAGGCAAAGCTGTACCCGTTGGCCTGGTTGCAAGCCCATGATCTGCTGACTCGCCTTGGATCCGGCTTCAGGCTGTTTGGAACTTTGTTTTGTTGCGTTGAAGAAGTTGAATTGTGGAATTTGTGGAGTGGTAAAGTGGTCGAAACATTCAGAAACTGCGATTCAGAAACTATACCATTCAGAAACTATCACGATTCAGAAACTATCGCGATTCAGAAACTATCGAGCTTCAGAAACTAAGGACAAGATGATATCAAAATTCCCACCCCCATGGAACTTCAAATTGACTTGGACTGCCCACAAGGATAAGATGATATCAAAATTCCCACCCCCATGGAACTTCAAATTGACTTGGACTGTCCACGAGGATCAGATGATATCAAAATTCCCACCCCCATGGAACTTCAAATTGACTTGGACTGCCCACAAGGATAAGATGATATCAAAATTCCCACCCCCATGGAACTTCAAATTGACTTGGACTGTCCACGAGGATCAGATGATATCAAAATTCCCACCCCCATGGAACTTCAAATTGGCTTGGACTTTCCGCAAGGATAAGATGATATCAAAATTCCCACCCCATGGAACTTCAAATTGACTTGGACTGCCCACAAGGATAAGATGATATCAAAGTTTCCACCCCCATGGAACTTCAAATTGACTTGGACTGCCCACAAGGATAAGATGATATCAAAATTCCCACCCCCATGGAACTTCAATTTGACTTGGACTGTTCACAAGGATAAGATGATATCAAAATTCCCACCCCCATGGAACTTCAAATTGACTTGGACTGTCCACAAGGATAAGATGATATCAAAATTCCCACCTCCATGGAACTTCAATTTGGCCTGGACTGTCCACAAGGATAAGATGATATCAAAATTCCCACCCCCATGGAACTTCAATTTGACTTGGACTGTCCACACTTAAGGATAAGATGATATCAAAGTTCCCACCCTCATGGAACTTCAATTTGACGTGGACTGTCCACAAGGATAAGACGGCATCAAAATTCCCACCCCCATGGAACTTCAATTTGACTTGGACTGTCCACAAGGATAAGATGATATCAAAATTCCCACCCCCATGGAACTTCAAATTGACCTGGACTGTCCACAAGGATAAGATGATATCAAAATTCCCACCCCCATGGAACTTCAATTTGACTTGGACTGTCCACAAGAATCAGATGATATCAAAATTCCCACCCCCATGGAACTTCAAATTGACTTGGACTGCCCACAAGGATAAGATGATATCAAAATTCCCACCCCCATGGAACTTCAATTTGACTTGGACTGTCCACAAGGATAAGATGATATCAAAATTCCCACCCCCATGGAACTTCAAATTGACTTGGACTGCCCGCATGTATAAGATGATATCAAAATTCCCACCCCTATGGAACTTCAAATTGACTTGGACCGTCCACAAGCATAAGATCATACCAAAATTCCCACCCCATGGAACTTCAAAATACCCACCCCCATGGAATTTGAAATTGACTTGGGCTGCCCGCATGGATAAGCTGATATCAAAATTCCCACCCCTATGGAACTTGAAATTTGACCTACGCTTTCCACAAGGATCAGGTGATATCAACATTCCCACCCCCATGGAATTTCAAATTGGCTTGGACTGTCCACAAGGATAAGATGACATGATATCAACATTCCCACACCCATGGAACTTCAATTTGACTTGGACCGTGCACGAGGATAAGATGATATCAAAATTCCCACCCCCATGGAACTTCAAATGGACTTGGACTTTCCACAAGGATAAGATGATTTTAAAATTCCCACCCCCATGGAACTTCAGATTGTCTTGGACTGTCCACAGGGATAAGGTGATATCAAAATTCCCACCGCATGGAACTTCAATTTGACTTGGACTTTCCACACGGAGAAGATGATATCAAAGTTGCCACCCCTATGGAACTTCAATTTGACTTGGAGTGTCCACAAGGATAAGATGATATCAACATCGCCAGCCCCCTTGTAATTTCAAAGTGGCTTGGACTGTCCACAAGGATCATGATATCAAAATTGCCACCCCATGGAACTTCAAATTGACTTGGACTGTCCAACACCACTTGAGGGAAGTGAACATGAGTTTCTTGGTAAAAAGGATGCAAATCTGATGAGTTTCTTACGTATCTGGCACTCAACTCTGCAGTCATTTTGCTGGTGCTGGCTTGGAGGTTGCAACCATATCACATAGGGGAAGTGACTGCAAATGAATATTCAGATTCAAAAGCAGCATGTTGAACAATTGTAATCCAATCCCCCTTCATCACGAGTTTCGCATTTCCAACTCCCTGTTCCTGTGCTTCCCCGGGTTTTAGTATCCGACTCCTGGTTTCCAACTCCCTATATTGATAGCTTCCGTTTCCGAATCCGCGTGTCGCGTGTCTGTCAGTTTCTGAGTCTTAGTTTCCGAATCCGTGTTTCTTAGTTTCTGAATCTTAGTTTCTCAATCCGCGTGTTTTAGTTTCCGAATCTTAGTGTTCGAATCCGCGTGTTTTGGTTTCCGAATTCGAATCCGCGTTTCTTAGTTTCCGAATCTTAGTTTCCGAATCCGCGCTTTTAGTTTCCGAATCTTAGTTTCGGAAGCCCCGTCCTCCTTAGTTTCCGAATCCTCTGTTTTTATGTTCCGAATCCTCGTTTCCGAATCCGTGTCTGTTAGTTTCCGAATCTTCGTTTCCGAATCTGCGGTTTTAGTTTCCGAATCTTAGTTTCCGAATCCGCGTGCATGTTCATTTCCGAATCCATGGTTTTAGTTTCCAAATCCGCGCTTGACCGTGTTGCTAACTTCTCCACTTGCATGATGGGGTGGGCTATTAACGTCTTTTTCACTAACAACCTCCAACTGCGTTACTAACCTTTCTAACCACTTGCATGAGGTGGGGTGGGGCGGGGTGGGCTATAAACATCCTTTCTACTAACAGCTAGAGATCCAAAACCGATTCAGAAACTAACGGCGATTCAGAAACTAAGATTCAGAAACTACGGTTCGGAAACTATGTCCACCGATTCAGAAACTGTCACGATTCAGAAACTAGGGCGATTCAAACTATCGCGATTCAGCAACTATCGCTATTCAGAAACTATCACGTTTCAGAAACTAAGATTCAGAAACTATATCACGATTCAGAACTACCACGATTCAGAAACCACGATTCAGAAACTATCACGATTCAGAAACTAGCGCGATTCAAAAAACCACTACCTGGAACGCCACAGTGGCTCATTTTTACAGGCCACTTTCCCATGTTGCCTATTTTACATGCCACTTCGGAATTTATCGGGTACTTTCACCAATAATGGGGCACTTTCTTAGAACACCCTGAATCCAAGCCCTGAGACTGCCTCGCTGTGGATTTTGACCAGGCTGCCGCATCGACATCAGGATTTGAAGATGAAACCATGCATGCTGGCAGCATCCATTCCACAGCACAACTGATAGTCAACCAGTATATATAAGTATATAACCCTGTATACATATGTTAAATTTATATCGAGGGAACCAGATCTACATTTAACCATGAATTACCCTGATATCCAGCCCAACACACACACACACACATATATATATATATATACATATATATATATATAAACATATATATATAATAATATATGATAATACATATTATATATGTATACACATGACTATTATGATATATGTTTATTTACAAACCTTTCCATCGGGTGGATGCCGCTGTGCCATGACTCTCAGCATTCTTGCATTGGAAGTCCTGGCGATGCAGTGAGAGGAGCGAGCTGTTTTCAGTTCAACTTCAGCTCAGCTATAGGCATACATATGTTCAACGATCTATATATATATATGTATACATATATAATGGAATGTTCTCCACCCACGGAAGCCTATTTTTTTCAAATGAAACGGCCCTGACAGGAGAACCTTTGCGCCTTCGACTTTCACAGACCGAAACGCCGAAGCTTGCATGCATGTGCTGGCTTAGGGATGTGGGCAACAAGTTTTAATCAAAACCCAGGGAACCAAATGCCAAATATTAGCTAACGCCATCTAACGCCCGTGGTTTATGAATGGGCTATCTTATCTAACGTATCTTAAGAGGCCATTTTTTATTTAAATCACATGCTCTCTGCAGCGCCGTCCCAGGATCCAGTTTGATCTCTCCTTCGCATGGCTGTGCCGCTGGCTTGATTGCAGCTTTGGGTCCTGTCGGTGTTGGAGCATGCCAAGCACAACCCACTATATATATAATTATATATATAATTATATTGTTTCTATACATGCATTTTGATCAACTAATTGCAGGGTCACAGCATTTTGTCACGGAGGAACATTTTGGCCTTTAGCTGGCTATACAACCCTTTGCCCTTTTGGCCCGTGGGTGCAATGGCTGATTTGGACCTTGCCAAAGAGTGGGAAGGTTGCACGACCATTCGAAGACGGTTCCAGAATCAGAAAGAGTGGCTACAATTCCCTGTCAATGCTGTGGATTTGGACCCTGAAGAACCGATTTGTGGGGAAGATGGTGAACTCATTCCCGTTCGACCGATTTCTACCAAGTCATTGGAGCTCAACATAGAAGCTGTTCTCATCATGTTGGACCACTACCATGGCAATTTCATTGATATTGCGGCATTGCAGTCTCAGGCAAGTTATTGCCCCAACAAAATGTTGAACTCTGTTCCCATTATGTGCCAACATATAACTGTTTAACAAGGTATACATATATAAACACAATAAAAACCTGTGCGTATACATATGGATTGGCGGGTCCCCTGTCAAGGTCAAAGCCCTTTATCGCTTGGTGAAACACCAGCCGTCCAGCGTCAAGACTACTTCCTATGTGGATGCATGGGATTTGAGGCGTCTCTATACCTTTAGCTTTCGTCGGCAGCGCGATGCAGCCAAGAGAAAGCAAACCCCCAGGGACTGAATGGAATGGGTTGGGTTCAACACAGATCCTGTTTTTAATAAAATTTCTTTCCCATTAAGGTTGCCCCAAAAACCGCCTGTCCCTGTAGGATCCCAAAGTACGCAGCTTGTTTAAGAAGATAGCTAATCTCAGGGAGATGTGGAAGATTCAAGAGAAAGAATGGCAAAACATTGACTCCGAAGAGCCTGTCAATGGTGATGATGATGGCTACACAACACATGATGGTTCTCCCAGCTCTGACTCTTTAGCCCCATGGTTTAAAACAATTTTTTTATGTTTCTCCATGCCTGCTCCTTTTTCTTTCCTGATCCGAAACCTGTGGCCGTCAAACTGCCTCATGACTTAGGTTGACAAGGAAGACATGAAGAGCAATCTCGCTTCGCTTGGCTTTCAGGGGGAGGTTTCCGATGAGCAGGCAGCAGAGTTGCTGACTATGTTGGAGAAGGTAGAAGGGTTGCCCACGGAGATAGATGACAAGTGGGTCCCTGAGTTATTTGGTTTGTTCCTCTCGGCTATGTACATCATATGGTTAATTCAAGTGATTCAAGTTATGTATATATATATATATATATGCCTCTCACCTGAGGTCCCCGTCGGCACCTGCTCCCAAAGCCAAGTCTGATTCATGCTACTTTCCCGCATTTAGGATTGTTGTCCGGTTTTTCTGTTTCCAGTTTACTTTCAAATATCGGTTTGGGATCTATAGAGGTGTTTGTTTGGCACGGTTTCCTTCCAATCTTAGGTCGTCGGTCACTGTTTGCACTGCCAGCCCCACCTGCAAAAGACCCGTCCCAGGCCAGGCAAAACGATTTTCAATCCACCATCATGGAGGGTTCCCCAAATTTTGGTTTGGCATTTTTTGGAATGATATTCTTTCGATCCCTGTGCCCGTGCCAGTTGGACACCTTGCCAATGGATGATGATGTGATGGTTTCGCCCAGCCCTGTGAAACCGCCTGCCGCCGATGACAAACCTCAGGCTAGATCTCTTTCATGAATATTTTTCAAATTTTCAAAAAAACAGCGTTCTGAATTTTCATTTTTCAGCTTTTGCCCAGCAATAAGTGTCTTAGATTTTCCCTGTGAGGTGGACAGCCAGCCTCCGATGGTCACACCGAGCTTGCAGCATGCAATGCGCACCAAGCAAGGTAAGAGTTTGAAGCGTGGAAGGAAACCCAGAAAGACCGGCAAAAAAAACAAGAAGGACAGCAAGAGCAAGAAGCACAGCAAGACAAGTTTTCATCAGCCGTTGTTCGAGGACGTTTTGTCTCTTGGACTATGGTCTCCTCATCAGACTTCTCTTTCTCGATCATCTTTGTCTTCTCTTTGACATATTGTGCATGATCTTCATGCCCCTTTTGTTGGCGACTTGGAATCGTCACATGGAAGGTGTCGATTCCGTTTGTAGCCTTGTATTTCTGGAGGCTGAGTTGTACTGCTTGTGGCAAGCAGCTCTGGCCGTATTGACCCAGGTGGTCGAGGGCCATGTTGAGAATTGTCTGATGATTGTTCTCACCCTTGATCTGCATCATCGTCTCAAGGTGCATTGTGTGGCCATACAGCCAGATCCAGCCATTGGACCATTTGTAGATCTTGAACTTGTCTGCGGCATTGTAGGCCAGCTGGATCACTCTGAGGTTATCCTGTTCCTCCATGGTGAGCTTGTACTTGTATGGCGAGTGGACTTGGAGTATTTGTACCGAGTATCCACGCTGAAACATGGACATCTTTCTCAACGCCATATTGTGGCACATGTTGTAGTCATCCAAGGTGACTGCCACAATGATTGTTTCTTCACAACCCATTGTGTGTCCCGCCGACTGGTGGTAAGCCAACCATTGGATTGATTCCTCCATTGTCGGCAGGAAGATCATCTACTCCCATCCTCCGCTCTTGCGAAGATTTCCATGGAGCATTGTGATCTTCTCATTGTCCCCAAGGAGTCGATTGTACTCCTCTCTTGTCACTGCACAAAACCAGTAGGTCTTGTCCTTGTCCAAGATCTCGCATACTGGCATGTTCTCATTGTCCTTGGGCCATAGGATTGTGCTCTCCACCTTGTCCTCATTGTGGATTGTGTGACGGCAATCCCACAGGGAGATTGTCGATCCCGTAGGCAACTTCTTCAAGTTGGCATAGTCCGGGATTGTCATCACTGCCATCCTTGTTGAGAATTTTGTCGTTGCGCTGAGAGATTGTCACGGCTGCGGATGGCGTAAACATTGTTGACAAATTGTCAACGTCACATGCATGGTTCAAATTCAGTGCAAAACTTCAAACACAATTGTCACCTCATTGTCTCCTTCCGACGTTTGTCGGATTTCTCACACTTGCAGCAAAAAGGAAATGAATTGTGAACTATCATGGTGAGATTGTACGTACCATAGTGAAACATAGTTCCATGTACTTATTGTCTATGACATAGTGTACCATGGCCCGCGCGCCCGTGTGTGTATTGTACACGCAGGGGAACATTTGCGGTGTTGTGAAACGTTGTTGTGCGGCCGTTGCTCAGTTGTGGTGCTGTGGGCATTGTATGCCCGCCATGTAGAGGTGTTTGTTGAGCACCTCTGCTGGAACATACTTGGTGAGTATGTCCGCTGGGTTGTCGTGGGTGCTGATTTTGTGAATTGATAGTATTCCGTTTTGTATCAGTTGTTGTATGAACAAGTATTTCAGGTCGATGTGTTTGGCTTTCTTTGATGATCCTATTCTTGTTGCAATGCTCTTTCCGCTTGTGCTGTCAGTGTGTATGCGGATGTTCACTTTTGTTGTTGTTGCTTCTTTGATAAAGTTTGCAATGTGTAGTGCTTCTTGTGCGCCTGTGCCAATTGCGTACAGTTCTGATTCTGCTGACGATAATGCTACCACTGCTTGTGTTCTGCTGCCGAATTGTACTACGGATCCCATCATTGTCACGATGAATCCGCTTGTGGATTTTCTTGTGTTTGGGCATCCGGCCCAATCCGCATCGACGTAGATGTTGATGTCGATGGGTGCTGTTGTTTGTGGTGTGGTTGTTGGTCGTATGTACATTTTATATTGTTGCGTTCCTCGTAGGTACCGCAAGAGATGCTTCAGCTTGCGGAGGCTTTGTTGTGTCGGTTGTTGTAGGTCGCGTGCCAGCTCTTTTGTGGCGAAGCTGATGTCAGGTCTTGTGTAAGTCAGCCATTGTAGTTTGCCTACCGCTCGCCGGTAGTCCGCGTGCTCTTGTTTGTCGAGCGGTGCTTCATCGTTTGCTGATTGTTTCAGTGTTGCCGTCCCTGGAGCTGTCGCTGGATTGCTTGCTTCCATTTTTGTTTCTTTCAGTAATGTTGTGATGTATTCAGGCTTGAGACTGAGTTCGTAGTAATCTCCGCCATTGTGGATGTCTCTGCCGAGGAATTGGATTGTTTGTCCAACTCCGAGTGTGCCGGTGGGTCGTAGCAATACGTGCTGTTGTATTTCCTGGAAGGTCTTGTTGACCTCTTGGTGGTTCCCCAGGAATAGTAGGTCATCCACGTAGACCATCACGAACATTGTTTGTTCGGTGTTGCGGTAAACGTTGGGTTCGCTTGTGAGTCTTGTAAGTCCCAATTGTTGTAGGACTTGTGCAAAGTGATCTTGCCACGATTTTGGGCTTGATCTCAATCCGTAGATTGCCTTGTTGAGCTTCCATACTGTTGTGCTATTGTGGCCGCTTGGGTAGAGCTCAGGTGGTGGCCACATGTACAAATTGTCGGTTGCTGCTGGTGCGTGTAGGAAGGCTGTTGACACATCGCCTGCTCGTATTGTCCATTGTTTGTGCAGTGCCATTGTCAACAGGATTCGCAGAATCCCGAAGATGGGTGTGCTGGCGTAGATGTTGTCGAGGTCCTGGATTGTTTCCAGAAAACCCTTTGCAACGATTCTGCATCTCACTTCGTCTTGTTTTGGTTTGTTGACCCACTTGGATTCTATAATCTTCCTTTGTATTCGTCTGGGACATCATTGTAGTTGATTTCTGTGAACACTCCTTGTCCCTTCATTGATTGCGCTTCTTTCTTCATTCCTTGTTGGACTTTCTTGGGATCAAGTCCTTCGTTGTCGTAGACGAAGGGTTCTTGTAGCATTCGTTCCACTTCTGCTTCTTGTTCGTCTTCACACGATGCTGTCGTAATTGTGTCTCCTTTCTTTGTGGTGATTGTCACTGCTTGTATCCTCATCTTGGAATGTGGCTGCTCGTCTTGTTGCCCTCGGCTGGCTGCTGTTGAGGATTGTGCTGTTCTCGATTGTTTTGGCTCAGCTTGACCTGTTGGCTCTTCGTGTGGTCTCTTGCCTTGTGGTAAAGGCAATGCTGGTCTTGTGATGTTCGTTGGTGATGTTGCCAACGGTGCTGTTGCCATTGTGGCATCCGCTGGTTGTTGTTGTGCTGATGCTGGCAGTGCTAATGGTGTTCCTGCTTGTTGTGTTTGTGTGCTTGTTTCGGTCATTGGAATGCCGGTTTGCGTTCCAATGGCGTAACTGCTTGCTGCTGGATCTGCTGGTAGTAGAAGTTGTGGTCGTAGTGCTATTGACTGTGTTGGTGTGTGCCACGGATACACGTTGATTGTATCCAAGAGTTGTCTGTCATATTTGTCTGGCACGATTTGTCGTCGAATTGTCCTCACTCTGAGGATTTTTCCTGGGATTCCAACGATTGATTCTCCAGTCATTGTATCTCTCCCAAGCCAGATTCCTTTGTAGAATCTTGGTTCCATCTTGGGTTGTGTTCTTGTCGTCGGGATCATGTATTGGATTGTCTCACCAATCTCACATAGTGGTGCTTTGTGGTCCTTTTGCCATCTTCTTTGATAGCTTGTTTGACCATCATTGTGAATGGCATACCGGTTGAGTAGCCATGCTGCATGTCTCACAATCCATGGTAGGATTGGATGTTGTACGCTGAGTGTGAGATTGTAGCTTGTTGTCACTTGTTGTAGTAGTGTTCTCACTTGTCCCATGAGGGTACGATGGTATCGTTCGATGCTGCCTTGCGATTGTGACGAGTATGCTGGTGATTGTCGTACGTTGATGTTTGCTCCAAGGTTTTGTGCAACTGTCTTCAAGAGGTTCAGTATGAAATCCTCTTGGTCTGTTTGTAGTGTTGTTGGTGAAAGTGTTGCTTGTGCTCGTCCACACTCAAACATGAATGTTTGTAGGCATCGTACCAGGTATTGTTGTTGTTGGTTCTTGTCCTTGACAAGGACTGCCATTGCCATACCTGATTCGACATCGATTGCCGTGAGTACTGGTAGTACTTGTTTGTCACCAAATGCCTTCATGTAGGTGAAGTCAACTTGTATCACCGGTTGTTTGCTTGTTTGTTTTGGATGATTGTCCATCCTGCCTTTGCTCTTGACACAAATTGGGCACCATGTTCTGTAGGGTAAGTGTGTCAGGTTGTGCTCAAACCTCTCTTGTCTTGTGGGTTGTTGTGGCGCCTTCATCCCTTTGGCGCGTTGTGCTTGTTGAGTGTCATCTTCATTGTCGGTGTCGTACTCGTACTTGTAGTCGACCTTTTCTTCAAAGTTTGTTGAGCCTCTCCATTGTCTGTCGAGTGGTCGTGCTCCTGATTCCTTCCAATTGTCATCAATCCTCCATCCTCTTCCTTGTTCTGATGGTGACACCATTGTTGTTCTTTCTGAGGTCAATTGTTCAATGTCAGGCCCATCATCTGATTGTTCTGGTACGTAGAGTGTTGTGCGTGGTTGTATGTGGACACGCTTCCACAAGTGTCCTTCTCTGATCCAGTAGTCAGGGTTTGGTGTCATTGTTTGTGGTCCTGGTATTGACGTCGTTGTCGGTGGTGGCTTCTTGGTTGTGTGTCGAAAGAGTGGTTCTCGGTTGTTTGTCTGCTGTCTTGTTTCTGCTTGTGCTGGCAATTGTGGCACCGGTGGCTGGTGCTCTGTTTGTGTTGTCTGCTGTGGCTGTTGTTGAGGCACAGGTGTCCTCGGTAGTGCTGCAGATTGTTGTGTGGCTGCCGATTGTCCAGTCACTTTGAACCAAGTCTCTCCTGTCCAGGCATCACCTTGTAGAATTCGTTTTTGTGCATTCTTGCCCAAGTCGTTGTATTGTTCCACGAAATCCTCATTGTGTCCATTTGGTCGTCTGACAATTGTCCTTCGATAGTTGCTCAGTTTTTCAAGAGATACTGGACAATTGTTGCCTGGAACGAATAGTGCTTTTCTTTTGTTCCTGTGGTACCTCACCAGGTATCCGTCACTGTTGTAGCTCCAGTAGTCATTGTTTCCTCCAGGGACTTGTTGTGGTCCTGATTGTGTGAGTGTGGTTGGGGCAATCATGGCAATCATGCCCTCTGGTGTCCGTCGCAGTTGTAGTTGCTGGTGTTGCTCAAGGTTCATGATTGTTGCTGGCAAGTAGTAAAGGTTGTGCTGTTGTACCAAGGGAACGTCAAATCCCTTGTTGTGTCTCATTGTCGGTGTGTCATTGAACCTGATGTCAAAGCCTTGTTCTGCCAGTCTTGTTACTGACAATATTGGGTCGTGGATGTCACACACGTAGAATGGTATGACAATTGGTTGTCCACGGGATTGCACGTAGACCCACCTCACTCCATAGCAGTGTATTGTTTTGTTGGTTACTGTCCTCAAGTTGGGTTGTTGGGATTCTTCTACTTTGTGGATTGGGTACTTGTCTGCAAACCATAGTGGGCAGACATGTGTCGCTGCACCACTGTCGATCATAATGTGGGTATTGTCTGTTGTCGTTGTAGTGGTTGGTTGCTGTTGGTTGCCACTGCCAATCATGGCAATCACATGTATTGGTTTGATGTCATTGCTTCCACTGCTTGTTGCTGGTATAGGTGGTAATGCCAATTGTTGTGGCTGGTGGTGTGTCGTGAGGTCGTGATAGTGCCATCCATTGTCGTAGTAGTCGGTGTACCATTGTGCTGTTGTGTCATCATTGTCTTGTGGCCCTGTTTGTCCAATGTTGTGGATTGCTACTCTGCAATCTTTGGCATAGTGGCCTGTTCTTCCACATCTGTAGCATGTGTCTGTCACTTGTTTTCCTTTGTTCTTTCCTTTTCCTTTTCCTTTGCTGAATCCTTTGTATCCTTTGTTGTCTTTTCCTCCAAAAGGATTGCCATATCCAATTGGGTTGCTGTAGGTGTTGTATCCTTTTCCTCCAGGCTTTCCTTTTCCTTTGTGGTAGTGGTTGTAGCCGTAGCCGTTGTATCCACCGTAGCCTTTGCCTTTGTGTTTTCCTTTGCCTTTTCCTTTTCCTTTGTGTTTTCCTTTTCCTTTGTGCACTGCGTCAATGTCCATGGGTGCTTGTCCTCCAGCATAGTTGGTTGACACGCTGGATGATTGTGTGGCGAGTTGTTGTAGCTTGCTGAATGCTGTTGTCGATCTGTAGTATTCAATGATGGTTGCTTTGACTCTGGCGTAGTTCGGGTTTTGTCCTGAGAGTAGTTGTAGGTGTTGTTGTAGTGGTCCTGTTGTCTCATTGAGTAGCACTGCTATTTTTACTGCATCTGGCAATTGTTGTCCATTGTCACGCTCAAAGCGTTGGATCTCGAATTCCCATGTTGAGAATGACTCCTCGAAATTGTTGTTGTCGAATTTTGGTTTGAGTAGTCGTGTAAGGTGTCCAATTGATCTTGTGCCGAGTGGTATTGAGAATCGTATGCAAAGTTGTCTGTACATTTCAAAGCCAATTTTGTGCTGGTATTGTGGGCAGACTGTTGCTGCTGCCCCAGTTGTTGTGTTGATGAGGATGTACCTCAAGTCAGTGCTGAGGCGAACATGTCGTTCACCATCCTCAATTGTTGTTGCTGCTCCTCGTAGTTGTGCTTCGGTCAGCTCTGCATTGGCAGCCTCTGCTGCTTGTAGTAGTGCTGTGTAGTCATTGTCTTGTAGACCCATGTATGCTGTGAACTTGTACTTCCATTCTTCAAACGTGCTGTAGTCTCCATTGTAGAAGGGGGGTTTGAGTTTGTACCTGTTCATGTTGGCCAAGTTGTCTTCTTGTATTGGAGGCAATTGTCCACCTCCTGCCGGTGCTGCTGGGTTTTCTGCCATTGTGGCTTTTTGTTCAAGCTACCACTTGTGGGGTCAAGGCTTGTCTCCTTCTTGTTGCTGTCGTTGTTGTTGGGTGTTGTTGAGTGTTTGTATTGGAGCTCACCTGGATTGTCGTTGCCAGGGTCACTGCTCCGCTACCATGCAAAAATCCAATTGCACACTGATGTGATGGATTGTGTCTCAATTGTTTCACGTTTGTCTTCTGTCAATTGTCAGTCCCTTGTGCACAGTCAGCTGTATTGTTTTCCTCTGGCAATTGTCGCTAGGCTCAAGGCCTTGATCAGTGCACAGCATTGTGCAGGGCATTGTGGACCAGGTACACCATTGCTATTGTACACATGAATTGTAACTTCATTCTTAACAGGATGGATGGATGGATGGATGGATGGATGGATGGATGGGTGGACAGATGGACAGATGGACAGATCGATCCATCGATAGATAGATAGATACATAGTCAGATAGTCAGATAGTCAGATAGTCAGATAGTCAGATAGAGATATAGTTATAGAGATCTAGTTATAGAGATATAGATATAGGATTTAGATATCCAACACTTTCACGATTTCATGACCTGAAGCCATTGATTTTTACCTGGCCTTGGCTCGAGGCACTGCCGCCACCGCCAGGATTCATCCCAGCCAAAGAGCTGGACCGCTTCACCTGGCTGTGCGTGTCTATCCATCACCATAGTTCATTTATTTGCATATGTATGTACACATATTTATTTACATAATTATTTCATTTATATATTTATATGTGTGTGTGTGATATGTATATGTATTAACATATATATGTGTGTGTGTACAGTTCATATCTCCATAGGTACATATTGAGTGCAAACATGTACAAGTCACACAAAAAAAAAGGACTTCATCATGTCATTTCTTTGCGCAAGTCTCCAACTTGAAAAAATTAGCCGAAGTATCCTGTGTAAGCAGCGGATGAACCATTCCACCAATGTTCCTCTAACATGGCATCCGGTTTCACCGACACTCTTGCGATTCCCCCAACACCAGGTCCACATCGATCCCTAAATCGAAGGAACGAAACTCTGGGGGCCGAGAACTGTGCTTTTGCTTCCACAAATCTATGGCATCAAATTGGACTGACCATCTCTTTGACCCGTGAATTCCAGACATCTCCAGCACCTTGCGACAGCCAAATGATGGTCGCTGCATTGAAGGAAGGGCCCCGTCGCAAAGCCGCTTTCTCCGCAGCGATCTGGAGAGCCAAAGGGAACTGTGATCGTCCCTAGGAGAACAACGACGGTCTTGTTGAAACTAGTTACCCTCTGGTTATGTCAAAATAGCTATTGAAAATGGCCATTTATAGTGGACTTTCCCATGAAAAATGGTGATTTTCCATAGCTATGTTAAATTACCAGAGGGTACTACTTTGGCACCAACCGACAGCTTCAAAGCAAGGCAGTGAGAAATTTCTGAGTGTTGACCGGCACTACTTCTAGCAAAATTATCAGTAGCGGTGCCACGGAAAGACAGCTGCCCTTGCCTCATAGCAGCTGCCAGGGCCAATTAAGGACTGCAGCGCAATTTGAAACATGACATGCGTTGACACTAACCTTTCAAACTCAGTGGCATGGCAGTCAAGCTCTGAAATATCGGCCTTCAGCGGTGTTATCCACAGTATTTCTTCAACTTCCTCCTGGCGCAGGTGGTTCTTCGACTTGGGGTATCCAAACTGTTGAGCATTAAAACTTGACATCAGTTAGAAATACTTATGACTTATGACATAACTTATGTGTAAAATTGTTGAAATATTGATGCTCAGAATACTCAGTGTCAGCATCGAGATCATCTTCAAACTCAGCATTTGATGCCCACTGCAGCTCTGCATGTCACACGTGTCACACGTGTCACACGTGTCACACGTGTCACACGTGTCACACGTGTCACCAGCTATGTCACCAGCTATGTCACCAGCTATGTCACCAGCTATGTCACCTCAAAGGGTTCCGGGTCGTCCAGTTGAAGCTTCAACACGCTGCAGCCTTGGACCGTCACCTCAGCTGGACAGCTTTTTTTTCGAAGCACAGCTGGTGGAAACTGAGGAGGTGGCGGGTAAGTATCCTCGGCACGGCAAAGGAGCTGTCGGAGGGACCACAAATGAATTTGATCACTTTTTCATACCCAAAGGTAGATCGATAGATAGCTTGGTAGGTGCATAGGTAAGATTAAACTGGACTGGATTAGATTCGATTAGACTAGACTAGATTGGATTGGATTATGTTAGATCAGATCAGATTAGATTAGACTGGAGTAGAGTAGAGTAAAGTGGACGACATATTAGACTAGACTAGGCTAGACATGGCTAGACTAAACTAGATTAGATTATATAGTTCAGATCACATCAGATTACATTGGATTGACAAATAGATCAGTAGATAATCTAGGTAGATAGGTAGATAGGTAGATTAAGACAAAGACTATAGACTAAGATTAGAGAAGAGAAGAACAGAGAAGAGAAGATAGAAATGATAGATGTAGATATACACCTATGATCCACAGTATGATTCATATGATCCACATGTGTGATACCCCTGTGATACCACAAGCGTTGTGCGTTTCCAACACGTCCAGGCGTCGTCCAGCTTTCACCTTGAGCCACGTCTGCGTGTCGTTGAGAACGCCCCAAACGCAGCGGCCCCAGGCCACTGGCTTCAGTGCCTGGCCGGTTTCGTCAGGGCTTAGTTTACCCCCAGTTGGGATCTCCTGATATATCATATGATCTATAAGCATGAAACATAAACATGGTCTAACATGATATGGGGCCCCCATAACTATCCAGAACTATGGTTATATTATATAACCTCTTATAACTAGAACATGCCGGATATGTACCCACCTAGGTATCGGGGCTGGAATTCCTTGCATTCAATGGGTGTCTTCATGAGGAAAGCTGCTGGCAACATGAGGCGCACATGGCCCGTTTGATTCAGAGAGTATTTTCGCAATACCATGCTGCATTGTCTCAAAAGTGCCACGTACTGCAGAAGATCTCCTTTTGCTCAATTCCAGCGTATCCAGGTTTAAGACTGCTTCAGCCTTTCAACACTGATGTGAACTTTTTGCAGCCACTGCCTTCTTAAAATATCTCTATCACCCACAAAGTAAACGTGGGAAACTCCCGGCAGTTCAGGAAGAATTGGTCCTGAATTGGTCAATAGGATTAAATAGGTCAACATAGGTCAACATCTCCAAATGTCTCAAAGGTCCACAGATTTCCATTTAAGGGCACCCGATTCTTGTCGCCATCCGGGGAAAAGCGGTAGCGCAGCCCAGAGCTGTCCGATCGCAGGAGACCTCACTGCAATATCTGTCAAGGGATGGAACCATTCATTCGGAACTATCGGCTCATATCTATCGGAGGATGATCCATTGGCTCTTGGGGACTGTTGTGCCAAGAAACTGTTGTCCACCAGGAAACGTTGAGGGCCCGTGGCCACAGCTCCCTGGAACGAGAAATACCGCAAGCCTACTCTGCTTCCAAGGAAATTGTAAACAATAATGGGATAACAATGAGATAATGATAGGATAACAATACAAACAATGGGATAGATTAATGATAATAGTAATGAGATGTTAAACTATCAGAATGAAGCTAATGTTCAGAAGAACTACACCCGAGTTTCAAATCCAAATGCTATAGAATTTCTGCAGGATCAAGGCCATCAAGTGTTCTTCAGTCGCTTGGAAATAAAACTCAGATTTGGGCAACGTTCTGTGGCTGGGCGGAGCCAGCACTTCGCTGCTCAGCGGCCCATTCAGAGAAGCGCGGCATGCGGAGAAATGTCGAAGCTCAGTGTCTTTCAATGCAGTTGTTCATCCTTTTCAGCAATTGGGTGTGTCTGAAAATGTTGTGTACCCCATTGTACCCAATGGTTTTGCTGATCAGAAAATCCCGTTTTGAAAAATGGCTAGCTATCATTGGGAAGATTAACCCATCATTTTCAGACAAACCCAATGAAAGCTTCGAAATCTTGGCATTCATGTGACATCAAACCGTAGGAGAGATGGAAGGACTTCTGTTGATCTCTGTCCGTTCATGAAACCTACAGCCCGGAAACTGCGGCCAGTTGCAGATGGAGCCAGCATACACAGTTTAACTCCTAAAAAGTACATCTCAAAGAATCTGGGATTCTGATTCAAAGGAGAATGGAAATGAATCAGTGTGGTTCCCCAAAAAGCCAAGATGTCTCAAAGCCACGATCAATATAATAAGGTGTCACGCGGTCCACTTTCCACAGAAACACCCAGTCTGGGGCTCAATGCTCATGGCGTGATCGGGATCTCCAAGGCAAACATCATCTTTTTGCAGCGGAGCTGGTCCAAAAGCTATTGGGACGCGACAAGCCATGTTGGTTACGCAAAACCCAACCAATCTGCTTGGCAGATGGTTCAAGTTCCATGTGCCTTCCAACACAAGTGACTATGACATGCAGAAGAAATAAGACAACAATGGAAACAATAAAACAAGGAACCCACTGAAGAAGATCGAGAAACGAAACAAGTAGAAAAAAAGGTCTGAAGCGAGTATTATATATATATGTGCAACACGTGTAGAAAATGAGCCCAAGAGCCCGAATTGAATTTAGAAATGGAGGCCGATATTTTTTTCGCAACGAGCACTGGTGGGTGAACCCAATGAACTTCAAAAGGATGACCGCAGTTACCATTTAATTCCTGCTTATTTTCTTGGTCTCAGGGTTGATCACAATGGGCAAAATGACATGGATCTCCCACTCTCCCACCAGGCGTGAACTCCTCACATTGCTACTGTCAGAGCTGCTCCAAGAATTTCATCACAGAGCGTCGAAGCGGTTGCAGAATGTTTCCCTAGGAACGAATCCAAACGGTGCAGCATCAAATCTTGCAGGCGCTTATTGAATGCCTCCACATCCTCGATCTTGCCCAAAACCAACTCCTGAACGGAAGCAAGGTGAACACTTAACTATCACTTACCTTATCTATTCTTGTCTTATCATTGTCTTATCATTGTCTTATCATTGTCTTATCATTATATATCTTATCATTGTCTTATCATTGTCTTATCATTGTCTTATCTTGTGTTATTGCCTTGCCGTCCACGTTGATAGGGACTGGGACTCAACAGGTCTTCGCGTTTCAGCTCCCTTCCCCCCGCGCCTTGTCTGCCGGAAAGGACGCTTCTGCCTTTCGCACATCGGAGGACGCCAAGCGTCCAAGGCAAACGTCTCTGGAGGCTCCCGAGTGAATCTTCACCGCCTGGGCACGTCCATTGTTCAAACATGGCACCGCTCGTTGATGAACTATATCTGATTCCGTGTGGGTTCTCAGGCGGTCTTTGTTTACCATAGGTCCACAGGTAGTATCATAAGGTGGCTTCGGGACTGTTTCTGGAGAGGCCTTTTTGATATTTTGAAGGCCCCATAAGAATCCCGTACAAACCCCTGGACATTCTCAGCCAACACCTGAGACCCCCACAGGGCCCCACAAGAGCCCCACTGGAACCCCACTGGAACCCCACAACATTCATAAGGAGCTGCAGTCATTACCTGAACAATCCTTCTTGGACTCAAAATACCCAACCTCTTAGCCCTACTAATCCATACCCATCCCATGCCCAGGTTTGGGCTGCTGCAAATGGCATTGTTCTTGTTCTGTTTGAATACCATTACCAAAACCCCACTCAACCCCTATCAAATCGCGAGGTCCATGATATGCAGCAACCCTCGCACCTGGGAGATGTGCAAATGATCCGCTTCAACCAATTCTGCAACGCACCAAACGCGCGTCAGGAGGGTAAAGTTCACATCCATCGCAACAACCTGCTCCAATCTCACCTGTTGGGGATGAGGAAAAAATGTGGACATAGAGTGAGATGGATCGTGTATCGCGCAAATGCTTCAGAAATCCATGAAATATCATGAAATCTAGTATGAGAGAAGCAGAAATTGGAGCTGCCACATGCACAAGCTCTTGCCAAACAGAAATGCTGGATGATGTGGATGCCAACGGCATATTCTTCTCAAAGATAAATTATAAATTGTAATTCTCCCATGTATGGAAGAGCGACTATGGATCATTGCATCATACATGCTGAATAACTACTCTCGGACTCCATGACCATCTCCAAAGTCGCCGATGGGTATCTGCCAGCCCCTCCCAGATGCCGCCAAGGTCGGCAACCGCATTTCATGCACTGGACAACCCTTTGGGGCCTCGGAATAGACTTCACGCAGTTGCCGCTTCAAATAGTTCATCATGTCATCGAACTTGTTCATTTCCTTGGTTAACTGAGTCATGTCAGTTCCTCTCTAGAATTGACAAAACATTACCAAAATCCGTGTTCCTTTGTGTCCCCTCATTGTGTATTTTCGCAGCGAGCAAGCATGTATAGAGTGACCAACTCTTGTACCCCATTGATTGGTGCCCCAGTGCTTCTTGTGGCTTTACTTCATTAGACTCATTAGAAAACAAAGTCCCGATTAAATCTCCCATCCACAAGAATGCGGTGAAATTGTTGGGCCGAAGTGGTCTGGCTCAATGGATTTCAATGGATTTCAATTGCCCATTTGCCAAGTTTTGCCTGCCCCATATACAGGGCCGAGCGTCACTGAAATCGCCTTCAAAGTGCTTCTGGGTTTTGCATGAACAGGTGGTGATGGGATGACCTGTTGAATCTGCCGTAGGTGCTCTGGCACAAATTCCTGCATGTTGGTTGACAGAGAAGGCACAGACCCAGTAAGGGACACTTAGTTGATTCCTCTCATCCAGCTGTTGGTGTAATCTGTCAAAGTCCTTGTTCTTCAGGAGAGTCACCACACCATCATATGTCTCTTCTTGCAGAGCATCTGCAAAAATGGCTCCAATCAAGTGAGTAAACTTGTTGCCCCAATTGTGTGTCACCATTTTGTACGCCGACATCGGGACGCCACGGTTCACAGCAGTTGCGTAGGCAAAACCACGGCCGGCATAGCCTCTGGCGGGCTCTCCACCAGGCACATCGGGTAGCTTGAAATACGCTCGAGATGCAATCTCAAAGGGCTTCTTCAGAAGAATCTGCACAGAGGAGCTTTCATTCATAGCTTTGTGGAATGCGCCTGACCATGTCAGGATGTCAGGGGAATGCGCAATGGTTTAGTAAACCTGGGGGGCCTCTTTCAAATGCTATTCATGGAACTATCAACCTTCATGCTTCAGAGCCGTGAGCAAATTAAGCAAAGCCTGTCGACCTGTACAGAACCAAGTCAAAGGCCAGAGAAACTGCAGTCTGACTCAGGTCGGCAGCATATTCCGGTAGAAAGATGGGACTCCCAAAACAAGCGAACTCAACTTCTACAGGTTCAGCTTGATCATCCAAAAGTTTAAACACATTTTTCATCATCTATCTCTATCTGTGTTCTTTTTGGGAATGGATCAAAGTGGGGGACACCCCAACCCACAACATTCCTTTCTAAAATGGTCCATGTTACTTCATTTTGAGGGTCCTCCTTGTTAACCCATCCCATATCTATTGCTGGATTTCTAAGTGCCTGCTGCCAAACTCTGCGAGCCATGCGATGAGGCATGGCTAACGGTCTTAGCAACGGCCTCCGCGTCTTGGAGGTCTTCTAGGGAATGAATGCGGACAATGCGGACGTGAAGAGATGTCGCACCAAGTTGGATGTCTCCTTCAAAACCATTCTGGAAGCTGGAATTCGGCAAGACTGCTTCGCAGACTGTCTGTTCCAACTCTAGACTAATGCGGATCGCTTCTTGGTTGATATCTTGAAGGAGGAAAACAGCTTCCCAGGACGGCTCCTTTGGCCGAACTGAATCGCCACCCTTCCATGGCTTGGTGCAGGAACCATTCACGGCACGAACTGAGCAGATCGCTGTCAACGGCTCAAAGTGCTCACATTGGACAACGATTTCATAGTGCCTGGAGCCTCTCATCTGCAAGGAGCCAGGGATCACGACTTGGCGCACAACATCATGAGTGGTCGACTGGTCTGGATCAAAATGTGACATCTGTTGCTCCAGGTCGGCATAGAAACCCAACAATTGCCTCACGGTGATGCCACGCTGTGCCAACTCCTTGACCTTGTTCTCCCAGGTCGTTGATACACCCGGCTCCAGAGACTCCAGGGACTCTGCACTTCCGGCACTTCCGAGATTCGAAGTCGAACTGGAGCGCAGACTCAAATCGAGGCCGAACTTCCTGGGAGGATCTGAGAGCAGTGCTGGTTGGGCGAAAGCAGTGACTTCCGACACCAGGCCTGAAAAAATGCAGGAAACCAGCGGCACAATGATCAACTTTCGAAGAAATACCACGGTGAATGATAGCATCCATTTCCACTCATCAGCTTCACCCAGATTTGCTAGAAAGGCTGTTATCACCAGCACATGAAGGCAGGAAAGGCCAATAGCCACAGCCCAAAACTGAATATCCCACCAGAGTCGCTTGCGCAGCTGCCTCCGGCGATGAGCTCTGTCGCGTTGTTCAAAGTCTCTCCAGGCTAAGTGGAACAACAAACTGCGTGGGATGAAATTCAACCTGGTTGGTGGTATACCTACCCCTCTGAAAAATATGAAAGTCAGTTGGGAAGGATTATCCCATATATGAAATGGAAAATAAAAGCCATGTCTGAAACCACCAACCAGCAACAGAATGGAGAAGAGTGTGACAAATGTGTACCATAGAAAGGTGCCTTGTTGGACGGGGCAGTCTGCTGGGCTGCGGGCAGCCACTGCAGATCCATCCACCGAGAAGAAGATCGCAACGAACGCCAAAGAGCCTAGGATGCAGTCCATGAAGATTTTGCCTCGCTTGGCGGCAGTGACGTGTAAATTACAGTGAAGCAAGGTGTAAGCAGGGTGAGCTGCTAAAAAGGTGGAGCACACTCGGTGAAGCCGCGAGCTGTGCATCAAAACAAAGGCCTCTGGTAGGTCTCCTTCCAGTCTCATGACCAAAGACTTGAGCACCGGCGACTTCTCCACAGCCAGACTGCCCTGCACCCAACCATTCCTCCCCCAAACATGCATTTCAAGAGATTCTATGTGTAGCTTGTGCTGCAGCGCCACATATCTCAAGGTATTTCGCCAAATACTGTCATCCTGAATTCTGCTGGAAATCGCTGGGTTCATCACCCTGTGCAGCTTCTTCTGGATCCGCGCCAAGTCTGTCTGGTGAAACTGCGCCAGGCTCGCCACACTGGACTCGTGATGCAGGGCTGGAACGGTCGAAGCGCTCGGTTTCTTCGGAGCCTCCGACGCATCGCTGTGCCCAGCGGTGCAGCTGCCACAGCTGCCACAGCTGCCACGCACCGGTGGCACCTCGGTCAGGAAGTACTCGTCCTTCCAGAGCCCGGAACGGCGCACCGACGCGTCAAGGAAGATGCCCAAAACGATCAGAGCCAGCAACAGAGCCATCGAAGGCCAAAGAAATAAGGCCGGGGGCCTTGACCACCAGCGAGGCTTCAGAATCTCTTGCAAGTTTTCCTCCGATAAGACATTGATGTTTGTGCAAGCCAAAAGCCTTGGATGTCAGACACACTTTTGAAAATCAAGAAAAATTGACATCAAGCTCCAGAGAGTTCACTTGAGTGATGAAGTCGCCAAACAAATGCTGTTGGCCTATAGCCCAATTGATCATAATTTATAATGATTTGGCGTTTCCAGGGAGCCAGTCACTCCCTGGAGCCAGCCACTAGCTTGGAATTGGCAAAGGGCCTAGAATTCAGAACCTGACAAGACGTGGCAAAGCAAAATTCTTTGGACCACACCTGTTAATCCTGTTAGCCTCAGCATTCAACACTGGGGTGGTATGACGCAAGAATCAGCTTCCCAAACATGTCAGTGCTTTCATCTGATACTGAACTACTCCGAGCAACAAATCCAGGAAGCCAGCAAAGATGGAAAGATGATAAGAGACACACCATGCCCCTGAAGCCGACAGGTTCAATGCCTCCAATTCCTCCGCTGTCACCAGGCGCACTCCGTCAGTGGACCAGGTGTCACCATCTAAGTATGCGCATGTCCATCTGGTGGCGTCAAAAGGTTCAGTCAGAGGCCCCAGCTTCACATAGATGGGCCTAGTGGAGACTACTTTTTTCGCTGTCAAGTTGTCCAAATCGTAAATGGAGACATCCACCACTCCAGTCACTGGCTTCAACAAGGTGCGACTTGTACCTTGGAAAATGATGGCGTTCTGGTTCTCAGAAAACAAGGTCGCCACCAACACCTCATCGTTCTGCAAAACCTGGCTGCGGAAGGAAAAGACTCTACTGGGGTGGGAGGTGACTCATGCGGTGGTAGGAAGCCTTTATAAGACTTGCCGGGGGACTGCAGGTTTCTGAGGCAACTGGTTTGAGTGTGGTACAGCAACTTAGGTACACCGTCAACAAAAGACCAGATCCACAAACGAAAGGGCATGTGAGTTGCCAGCGCATCACGCACTAAGCTGCATTACCCAGCGGTGGAAACATCCCACCCAAAGAAAATGGCACTGTTGTGTTCTCAAGTGGGGATGTCAGTGGCCCATGTATACAGTATACAGAGTATACAGATGTATACAGTACATTCACTTTGAGTGAGATCAAACCTTTGAGACTCCAAGTGCCAGCACAGTAAATAGGTCTAGCCTAAAAAGGGCCCCACTCGGTACTCAGGTTCTTGTTGCTGAAGAAGTATACAATGCTGATCATTCTGATCAAAGGTTCGTGCTCGCAACCGAAGATGGTGTCTTCTGCACTACAGTACTGGGTCAATACCAAGGCCACCAAGCAGGACCTAAAGATTGGACAGTTTTGACACCTGCGAAAATTCAGGCAGCATTCCCAATCTCATAAGCTCCTGTAAAATCATTCTGATCTGCCAGTCATTTCCAACCCTTCGGCCTCAAGAGGAAGCACTGCGCCGGATGTCTCATCAACCAACTGTACATACTCGCCATCAACGGAACTGTTCGGCTCCTGCAACCTGGCAAAGTTGGATGTCGCATCATCAATTGACCCAGCTGCAACCTCACCCCCTGGCCGCCCTGGCCCACCTCATCACTGACACTTTGCCAATGGATGTCTCACTGACAAGGAGGATGTTTTGGCCTGTGCCGTTTGTGTCAGACAATTGGCCTCAGTCGCACATGGACATTGACCCAAGCTGATCTGGTGAAGTTAGAAAGATGCAAAGGCACATTCTCTGATCCAATGATATAAATTGATATTGTGGATGATGAAAGTTCTCCATTACTCATTTTCACCGACAGCTGTACATGTGTGACATAGCAGTTGAAACTTGCAGCATGGCTATACCAACGCTGCTCCGCTTATGGCTCAAGAAAACCTGTTGGCAGCTCAGAGCGCTGCTGACGTCCCTGTTCATAACCCCAAAGGTTATGAGCCCAAACCTTGCTACTGCTGCAAAGTATAGCCATGATGATGCAGCGTCGACGCTCAGACCGAGGTGAGACGGCCGACGAGAGCTTGGACAGGAGGATTGCCGAAGTTCAAGTGGAAAGGCAGAGGGCACGCTCTGTACCACTGAGGACTGAGGATGGGCCTGGAGTTCGAAGGTTGGAGTACCACAAGCTTTGGGGCCACAAGCGGTGGCACAACCAGCTGAAGTAGGGCAGCAGCAGCTGATGAGGCAAGGTGGAGATGGGATGCCGAGATCTTTGGTGGCTGGTCAGTTTCTATGGGGAACATTCCAAGATGCGGAAGGTGCAGTTGGCACTCAGCTGCGTGCATTGGGGCGATCTCCTGGAGACCGTGAACGCCCTCAGGTACCTCAAGGGTATCCTTCTGCTCTACTTCCTCTACCAGGTCTACATGCTGAACCTCGCAGAGGCAACGATCATGAAATGCTGTTCGGGATAGAGGACGTCCTAATGGAGGGCATACTGGTGGGATGTTGGGGCCTCTCTCAGAGCCTCTGCAGCAGCCGCTGACGCTGATGCCGAAATCTTTGGAGCAGGCCTACCAACAGATGGGAGCTGCGCAGCTGTTACACCCCAGCCAGTGCATCCGTTTTGAGTGCTGCCGTTCAGCAGGAAGTACTATATAGGATTGGCTGAACCTAGCCAAATGGGACCGAGGGAAGGAAGCCAAGTGATGGTGACTCCGGTTCGTGAAGTCCAAGCAGCCGCAGCTGCGGTGAGCTCGGTTCCCGCTCCGGCGGTCAGCCCTGCTTCTGCGGTGAAAGCCGCTACATCGGTGAGCCAGGATCCTGTGAGACCTGCGGGTCTTGCGGTGGGAACCGGGCTAGTTGGCCAAATGGGAGGAAGCCAGGGAGTGGTGGACCCAGCTGTGTTGGCAGTGGAAGAAATCCGAAAACGGGTGATGCGGGAGGCAGAGGAGCAGTATGTTCCAACTGGAGGTTGGGTGTGGGTTCCGGAAGGTGGAGGTCAACCAAGCCCTCAACAGGGTGGAAGGCCACCTACTCCACCGCCTGGGATTCAGTCTGGTTATCCTCTGGGAAATTAGGCAGCACCTGCGCAGCCAGGATCATCGTTGACTGAAGCATTGAGGAACTTGGAGTTGCCGAAGTTGCCAGCTCCGGGTAGCCAAGATGCATCCCTCCAGTTCGGCGACTGGATGACAGCTGTGTATCCCATCATGTGCGATGTGGCTGGAAGCGCCAAGGAGTGGTGGACACAGACGGTAAGTACTGTAGAACACCACTATGTGCAGTGGCTGTCTGCAGCACCGCTGGAAAAACTGAGGATGAAGCCAGAAGCTCCTAGACTGGTGGAACAGTTTGCCAGGCTCGAGCAGACAGGCATCTCCATGCTGTTTGGTTGTATGCCCGAGACCTTGAGGCAGGAGGCCATTGCCTCACGGCGACTTTCGGCAGTCGGGATCTTGTTCCGATTGCTCACAACATACCAACCGGGAGGAACTGGAGAGCGGACCAGTTTGATGCGAGGAATTACCGATGTGAAAGTGCCAACGGGTTTGGTGGAGAGCTTGGGTACGACCAGGCTTTGGCGCAGGTCAGTGGGGAGATCAGAGGAGTTGCGTGTGACGGTTGACCCTCTGGTACTGACAGGTGCTGGCTAGGTTCGCAGAAGCAACTGTCAAGCTGGGTGGGAACCAAGTGGCATGCAGGTTGGCGACAATGCGCCAACAGCTGGATGTTGACAGGGCCCCACAGTTGGACTCAGTGAAGGAATGGGCCGCGTATATACAGGCTGAGTTGGAAGAACTAGCCAATGCTTAGGCGGTCCCTAAGGCAGCGACATCTGGTCAGGCAGCTAGTGGTGTAATGCCGCCGGTGGTAGCACCAGCTGTGAAGGCTCTGACCGGGGATGGTTCGAAGCCATGGGAGAGGAATGAGGGAGCTAAGGCACCGTGTCGTTTTTGAGGCACTGATGAAGGGTGTAGGCGAGGCGAGAAGTGCGGGTATGCTCATGACAGGGGCAGCCTGGAAAAATCGTCGAGGTGTCTATTGTGCTCATCCACAGGACATAGAAAGAAGGATTGTCCAACGGTGAGACCGAAGGAAGGGAATGGTGGGCAAAAATCGGAAAAGAAGATCGCTAAGGTTCACGATTCCAAGGGTCAAAAGGGATCAGGAAAGGACCCCAAGACGCCTGAAGCTGGATCCTCGGAAGGAAAGGATCAACCAGCAGAGAAACCAGCTGAAGCTCCAAGGCCAAAGCAGGAAGGCGAGGCTGTCGGAGGGTTGGTGCAGAATTTGAGTGGGTTAGTGAAGTCCTTGACGTCGGTCAAGTCGTTATTCCTCAAGGCGGTCAAGGTCGACGGGGATGAGACGGCAGAGTACGCGTTGTTGGACGGAGGTGCTACGCATGCCCTGAGGCAGGCGAAGGCGTCAGAGGTGCCGCATTTGTGGCCTGTGCAGGTAGAAATGGCTATGGGGAGCGTCACTCTCTACAAGAGTCCTTGGCACAACACCCTCTTGGCGCTAGAAAGCGTGGACCATAATCCCGCTCAGGTTGTTGGTGGACCTCCCACCCTCATCATGGCAGGTTGGACTGCGTGATGTGCCAAGGGTGCCCTGTTATGGACCGAGCAGCAGCCTTGCAGCTATTGGATTCTCTGGAAAGGAATGGGGTTGGGGACACGTATGCTCCAACACCACAGGAATTCAACTGGTGGAAGGAGATGTATCCACGTTCCGAGAAGGATCTGGTCACTGATGAGAGACCAGGGCGTGTCGTGGGATGAGATCAAAGCGCCCATTCCATGGAACAGACGAAAGAGACGAAGGCTGGAACGAGCCAAGGGGGGAGTAGTTCTGCATCTTTTCGCGGGCCGCGGGTCCCATTCAGAGAAATGGCAATCTCTGGGAGGTGCAGACACCGAGGTCCTAACATTGGACATCTCTGCGAATTCCCAACTTGCACTCGGCGTCTGTATGGTCGTATCTCTGGAGCTTGGCTGAAAGAGGCCGTATCAGAATGATCACAGCAGGTCCTCCGTGCCGAACTGTGAGCAGGCTGCGGCACAGAAGATTAAACGGATGGGGACACAGCCCTGTGGCTGAAGACCTTGGGATTCCATGAGAATCCCAGGAAGGGATGAGAGATGCAGGGATACCCGGCCGTTGCGGTCTCTTTGTGGAGAATCCTCAGGACCCAGTTGCGTACCTTGAGGATGGCTTGGAAAGGGACTACCCGTCGTTCTGGGAATGGGTAGAAACAGAGGACTTCATGCGAAGACAGCCGGACGTCTTCAAGATCCGAGTGGATCAAGGAGCATTGGTGCATCCGAGACCCAAACCCACGACGCTCATGACCAATATGGCTCAGTTGCGGGAACTGGATGGCATTAAGGCCTCGGCAGCAGGCGGGGAGATTCAGGAAGATCTTCAAGAACGCTTGAAACAGACCGCTCTGTGGTCATCATGGGCAGCAGGCTTGGTCGAGTCACTTAAGATGGTGATTCCCAAGTTTTTGCAGGAAAAGAATCAGCAGCCAACGCTGCAGAAGCTTGACCTTGAGGGTTGGAAAAACCATCTGCTATCCCAGCACGTTCCGTATAGACGGGGCTGTCGGATTTGCCTGGAAACCATGGGATCAGCAGAACCTCACCGTAGGAAAAAGGGGCAGGAAAGTGCTTTTGTGATGTCAGCAGACATCTGTGGGCCTTTCAAGCAGGGAACCGACTTGCACAGGAAGGTGAAGTACGCACTGATCGCGACCATCCCTGTGCCACAAAGTGGCCGACTCCAGGGGAGCAGCAGGAAGTTGACTCTGAGGCTCCGGGAAATGGAGATGAAAAGGAAAAAGATCTTCTACCAGAGTTGGAACATGGACCTCCTATAGAAAGTCTAGAGGACCTGTTGGAAGCGCCAGAGCCTAAAGAGTGTGTCTCTGAGTCTCTGAGGAGGTCGCTAAAAAGAAAAATCAGGCTTGGCAGGAGTTCCTGAAAAAAGAAGCTCGAAGTGCATCCGAAGAGATTCCTGTGGAAAACCTGACGTTCATGGAACCCATGGCTTCCCGTGAGCAGGAAGAAGTCGTCATGGCTCTTTCCAAGATTCATGCTCGAGCTCGGAGTTTGGGAATTCCAGTGTATCGGTTGCACACCGATCGAGAAAAGTCATTTGCCACCAAGGCCATTTCCAAGTGGTGCTTGGACAGAAATAAAGGTCTTTCAGACTCTGACTGTGGGCGACGAACCAGAGGCGAACGGCAGGGTGGAAGGCGAAGTCCTGCAATTCAAACGCCGTCTCAAGCTGTTGCTTGTGGAGACTGGGGTCAACATGACCTATTGGCCCTGTGCGGCAAGACATGGAAGAAAGGCTGCGATCACAACTTCGAAAGTTAGGGGCTCAGTGTAAGGAGATGCCACGATTCGCTGTGATGACTCAGGTGAAGGCCAAAAGATGGCACCGGGTTCAGGAAGGAGCCCTGTCATTGCCCTACAAGACTTTGCGAATCATGGGCCCTTCCCACTCCATGACCAACGGATGGGTTGCCTTTGACGAAGCCGGCAATTCTTGTGCAGCACGCGCGATCGGTTTTCATCCCAGACCCGCTGGGAGAAACCGCTCGACTGGAGCTTGAAGCCGTGGAAAACCCAGCTGTCCCGCCACGCAAGTTGTATGGGAAACAGCCTTTGTCTAAGGAAGTTGGAAAGGTTCCACAACCACCTGCCCGGGTGGCCCAGGTGCCTGCTCACGGGGAGCTTGAGGCGCCAGGGGCCGTGTCAGTTCGAGATATGGCTGATGTATTTATCCCCAGAGATGGCTGAATTGACGAACCAGAGGACGAGTATGAGCCGCTGGTTGCCGGCGACTCAGCTGCTGATGTGCCTGTGGGGGATAACGAGCCAGCTCTCACTGCGTTACGGGCTGGGGGGGAGTCTTTTGATGATGGACTAGGTTCATCAGGAGCTCAAATCCGAGGTTGGGGGAGATCGACGTCTCTGAACTCCCAGGGTTTGTGGATGAACTTAGATACCAGCACTGCAACTTGAAGAAATCCGCTGGAACAGTTGAACGCTGTAGCTGGTGACAAAGAAGAGGGTGCCGGGCTAGGTGGTCTGGTGAAGCATGTGAACCTTCAGGTGCATAGCCTGGAACGAGATTACTAGTGGGAAGAGAAGGACACCAAGATGGCAGCTCTGAGAGCTGTTGGGGAGGGAAGCTGGCATAGACTCGCTGCTTTTTCGGCTGAAGTCCCAGAAAAGGGAAGGGCGGAAGTGGGTAGCGATGGGCAGAAACCTCCAACGGTCTTACAAACCTTTACGGTCCCTTTGACAATGGTAAAGAAGGATCTGGAGTCCTGGCTGGAACCTGTCAAGGCCGGGTATCGGCAACTGACCCAGGAAAGCCAGGCGGTGAGACTGGTAACAATCAAAGAGTTGGAAGCCATGATCATGGAAGGCTACCAAACCATGGAGCTAGCACCAAGCAAGCTGGTTACCACGGTTAAATCGCCAAATGGGAAGCGCAAGGCACGGATTGTGATCTGTGGAAACCTAGTGACCAAGGCTCACGAGGATGGCAACAAGGCTCAGGCGACACCAGTGCCGGCAGCGGACTTGTATGCTGGAGGAGCTGACGCCACAGCCATTCGATGTATGGTCAGAAAGACCGCCGGGACATGGGAGTCCTAGGCATCAAGGGCGCGTTCTTGCTTGCCCCACGCCGAAGGGAGCAGGAGTGCCTGATGATGACCATCCCGCCGAAGCTGCTTGTTCAGGCTGGGATCTGTCCGCCGGAAGAGCGGTGGGTGATCCAAAGGGCGATGTACAGCTTGGAGACCAATCCGGCAGACTGAAGTAGCTTCCGTGACCAAAGGGTCAAGAAATTTGAGTGGAGCTCAAATGGTAGGGTGTTCTGGATGCATCAAACTGTGGAGCCAAATGTTTGGCAAATCTTGTCAAGTGAGGAGCCAGGAAGAGCTGACTCGGATGAACGGGTGGATGGTTTTTGTACTTTGTACGTAGACGATGTTTTGGTCTGTGGGCCACCGGAGGTCATCAAAGGGTGTTTGGGCAGGGTGACCCAAGAGTGGAGCTGCTCCCAAGCAGAGTATCTCTCAGAGAAAGGCACGCTCCGATTCTGTGGAATGGAGTTGAAGCTGAACCCTAATGGCGGCATCCTCCTGTCCCAGGAATCGTACACGAGTGACATTCTGGAGAGGTATATCCCGATGTGAACGAATCACTGGTTCCGATCGGAAAGGTGGAAGATGGTGAAGAATCACCACCAGACCCCTCTGACATAAAAATAGCGCAGACCCCTATGAGATAAAAATAGCGCAGACTCTCGTTGGGGAGCCCTTGTGGCTCAGCAGAAAAACTAGGCCTGACGTGGCGTATGCAGGAAGTTGGCTTGGATCACGGGCATCAAAGTGTCCAAAGAAGGTGTGCCTGGTATGTGAAGCGTACCTTGGGACACGGGTTGCTCTATAAGAAGTGCCAGGAGGCTGACCGAGGGCCTGATGGCAAACTGGCGTTCTGCAGGGATGCCAACACCTTAGAGGTACATTCGGATGCGTCGTTCGGTCCGGTGGAGAGAAATCTCACCAGGGTCTTCTTGCAGTTTGGGCTGGAGGGTTGATCCAGTGGGAAAGCAAGCGACAAAGTTTTGCCACCTTGAGCAGTTCGGAAGCGGAGGTGACGTCCTACGTGGACGCTATGTGCCTAGGAGATTCCGTGGCCGCTTTGGTCGACATCTTTGAGGAGGGGAGATTGACAGAAAAAGGGGTTCGAGTGTTGTATGGAGATTCCCAATCAGGTATCCAGGTAGTGCTACCCAAACGGGCCTTGGAGATCGAGGCATCTCAGGCTGCGCTCGAGAGCACTGCACGAAGCTGTGCAACAGGAGGTATGGAAACTGAAGCACGTGGCTGGGGTGGAACTGGCAGCAGACTTCCTCACAAAACCCATGACTGTGGGACTACGTGGACGAGGTTCAGAACCTTTGCGGGGCTCTACGACATGGCCGAGCCGGAGGACCTGGAGACCTTGAAGAAGATCGCGATCTGCATGGACTGGGCTCTGAAGGGCTTAGTGGTAGCTGTAAAGTCAGAGAAGTGGAATCCGTCTGCAGAAGAGCACAAGACTGTGACGGAGGTAGGTATCTGCGCTGTAGCTGCTGGCCACGTAGTTCAAAGGTGGAAACATCACCTCTGTTGTCTGAAAAGGAAAGGAATGGCGAGGGAAGATGAACCCGGCAACTCAAATGGGGAATCCGGTAACCCCGGAAGCATTACAAGATGGCTGAGGGAAGATGAACCCAGCCCTAATCCCGTAGATGGTCCCCATGTTAAAAAAGGATGGCTGAGGGAAAATGAACCCAGCCCACAACCAACTAGTAAGATGCCAAGGGAAAATGAACCTGGCATTAACCCCTCAAATGGTCACCAAGGTCCCACCTCTTTTGGGGATTCCGGTTTTGGGGAATCGAGTTTTGGGGATAGCGTGGCCTGCAGTTTTCCATGTGACAGGTTAGACCAGGTGAAGGGACCCGTTCTCTCCACAGACTTCGGGTCAAGCGACCACTGCCCCGTTCGGCTACCGGGTTCGTGCGCTACGCGCTGGAGCCATGGATGCTGCGCCGACTGCTGTCGCAGCTGCTGATGGAGCTGGTGGCGATGGTGGCGATGGTGGAGAAGATGGGGGAGATAGGCCCGATAGGAGCCTCATCATCCAAGCCCGGGCGACTATGAGAAGAAGAAAAGGAAGAGAAAGAAAAAGAAGGCCAAGCAGGGCCAAATACAAGAGCAGAAGGAAGAAGACTCCACGATGGAGAAGCCAGAGGCTCGGGGCACCGAACACAACATCTGGTTTGAGGGCCAGCAGGAGTTAGCCCTACGCCATGAAGCTATGAAGGCCAGACAGGCCAGGCAGGCAGCTCGCAGACAGTATACTGCGGGAAGCCCAAGGAAGGATCCCAGTGGAAGAGTCAGACGAAGAGGCTGTGGTGCTGAGGCCAAAGCTGAAGGCGATCCCACGCCCGTGCCGAAGCCAAGCCCAGTGGTGGAGGACGCTTCGCGTGGCTCGGCCTCTGCAACGCCGGGAACTTCGTCTACGACCGCAGTGGCTTCTTCTAGCTCCGCAACTGCAGCAGTGTATGGCACCTGCTCCGGAGAGGTCGGAAGGCCTTGCTGCTTACTCGGTGAGAACGTTCGGCCACATGGACAGTGATTTTGGCTACTTCAAGAGTCAAGGTGATCGAGTTCCTCGCCGCCGCATCAACCAAGATGGTGACCTCGAAGTTTGCCGTCAGGACGGCTTGGTGGAGGTCTTCGCGAAGGCTGGAGCTGACCAACAAGAAGATGAAGAGGAAGAGCCGGAAGATGACGATGAAGATGAGCAGGATGACCATCCTGGAGACGGAAATCCTCCTGGTAGTGGTGGTCCTTTTGATCGAGACCCTCCTGGTGATGGAGGTGGAGCTTCAGGTCATCAAGGCCCTTCTGGAGGTGATTCGTCTGATGAGAACTGGGGGTCTCAGTGGACTCCAAAAGGGAAGGTGGCGCCAGAACCAGAGGGTGAGCCAGAACCAGAGGGTGAGCCGGGAGCAGAGTCGAAACGTGCTTCGCCAGGTACTGGGGCGGAGCCAATGGTCAAAGCTATGAGGATGCCGAGCTCTACTACAAGACCGTGGGAGAACGTGGGGTTTGCGGCGCCCCCTCCGGAAGGAGGAAAGGATCGATGGCGGTTGGACCTGGTCGAAGGTTGGATGATCAGGTGCCACCGGGAGCCGAGAAGGAGGGCCTTTCACCCGGTGCACAAGAAGGCTCCCCACGCGGCTTCTTCGCTGGAGCCTACCAGGGTCACTGTGGGCTTCGTGGGCCGCGAGAAGTTCAAGGTTGAGGACCAGTGCACTGATGCTGTCCGTGATCTTAGCCAAGGTCGCTGGACGGGCTGGACCTTTTTCAAACTGAAGGTGCCTGAGCCTGCATCGGTTCCACCGGACACACTTTTTCCAGGAGAAGATGCACTGCGAGGTGAAGAAGGGCATCGTTCTCTTCTACCTGAGCGACCAGTTAGCGATGACCAGGCAGCTGGACCTGATGGCGGGACGTATGCCACTGCGGCATCTCCTGCACCAGCTGCTCCACAGGCGGCTCCAGCGACTGGCTACGCTGGTGGCCGTGGGCTGCTGGACCGAGCACAGCCTGTGGTGGCCGACCTTTGCCGCCGAGATGCGGAACTTCAACCGGAAGAAGGTGAACTGAGCGAGGGTTGGAGTGAACTTTCGAGCGTCTGAGCTCGTGTAGTTTTTTCCCACGGTGACTATGACTTGCCATAGTGGCAAGGGGGGAGTGTGGATGATGAAAGTTCTCCATTACTCATTTTCACCGACAGCTGTACATGTGTGACATAGCAGTTGAAACTTGCAGCATGGCTATACCAACGCTGCTCCGCTTATGGCTCAAGAAAACCTGTTGGCAGCTCAGAGCGCTGCTGACGTCCCTGTTCACAACCCCAAAGATATATTTCATATGAAACTGAAACAGAACTCACCATGGAGTGTTCGGCGACCATCGAAATCCAAAAGATCTGAGGCTTCAGCGAAGCAGGGCCTCTGTGCTTTGCTCCAGCTGCCTCAATGTGTCGGCAACGGATCCTGCCTGGCGAGGTTTCCGGGAATTGGGGTCCGGTGATACCATCCAATACCAACCAAAGTTTGATCTTGTAACGAACCCGGTAGCATGCCTATAGTCAGGAAATGTGACGATTCATGACGATGGACTATGGATCCGCAACATCTTTTGAACTCCTAGTTGAAAGCATCAAAGGTCTGCTGACGTCTCGCAGCACTTGTTGGTACTAAAGGAAGAAAGACCAAGTTCCCCAGAACGTGCACAAGCACTTATGCCCTAGAAGTTCCATTTCTGCGATGTTGGCATGGGTGCGGAGTTGCCCAATCTTTTGAAGCATGGCAGGTTACAAGCTAAGCAAAAGTCTAGGATTCATTAAGGTTCTTGATTCTACTTAGGCAGGCGTACCCATCTAAGCATTTCAAGTGTCTGTTGAAAACATCAAAGTTCCGGCCTGTAACGAAAAAGGTCTCAGATCCCAAATCCCTAAAACGTTCATATAGTAAAGTAATACAGAATTCATGGATGGAAGAAATTCTCAGTTTTGAGGATATCAGGATACCCCAGGTGGACCAGGTTGGACCACGGCTTGTAGAGGGCCATGTGCACTTTTCCTTCTTTCATCTGGGGAGGCATCGGTTGGGGCAAGAACGTTCATATTACGCTGCATATGTACGTGCTGTTTCGTCACGCACGGGGTGGGGCAAAAACTCTCATGTTACGGTGCTGCTACAGTTACATCACACATGGTGTGTGTGTGTGTGTGCGTATGTACCTGCTGCTACGTCACGCATGGGGTGAGGTTGGCATGGGGTGGGGCAAAAACATTCATGTTACACTGCATATGTACTTGCTGCCACGTCACGCATGGGGTGGGGTTGGCGTGGGGTGGGGCAAGAACATTCATGTTACGCTGCGTATGTACGTGCTGCCACGTCAAGCATGGGGTGGGTATGGCGTCGGGGTGGGGCAAAAACGTTCAAGTTACGCTGCATATGTACGTGCTGCCACGTCACGCATGGGGTGGGGTTGGGTTGGGTGGGGCCAGAACGTTTCATGTTACGGTGCGTATGTACGTGCTGCTACGTCACGCATGGGGTAGGGCTGTAGGTGCTGCTATACGTCACACATGGGGCGGGCTTGGGGTGGGGTCGGGCAAAAACTCTCATGTTACGGTGCTGCTACAGTTACATCACACATGCGGTGCGTGCGTATGTACCTGCTGCCACGTCAAGGATGGAGTGAGGTTGGCGTGGGGTGGGGCGAGAACCTTCAAGTTGCGCTACGTATGTCCGTGCTGACACGTCACGCATGGGGTGGGGTTGGCGTGGGGTGGGGCAAAAACGTTCATGTTACGCTGTGTATGTATGGGCGGCTACCTCAAATTTGGGTGGGGTTGGGGTAGCGTGGGGCAAAAACGTTCATGTTACGCTGCATGAGTCTGCAAATGATATGTGCTGCTATGTCACGCATGGGGTGAGGTTGGTGTGGGGTGGGGCAAGAACGTTCATGCTACGCTGCGTATGTACGTGCTGCCACGTCACGCATGGGGTGGGGGTGGGTGGGGTGGGGCAAAACCGTTCAAGTTACGCTGCATATGTACGTGCTGCCACGTCACGCATGGGGTGGGGTTGGGTGGGGTGGGGCCAGAACGTTTCATGTTACGCTGCCTGCTGCTACATGGTGGGGTTGGGGTGGGGTGGCGTGGGGAAATAACTTTCATGCTGCGCTGCTTATGTATGTGCAAACCATAGACCGTGTATGGTTCAATCTCAAGTCTTGGTTGCCTCCAAAACTGCGAGCAGTTGAGAAGAAGGTCGGCCATCACTTTTTGAACAAAGGTGTCAATCGTATGATCCAACAGTGGATTTGGCGTCAAAGTGTTTGCCTTGCTCTCCCACAGGGATGATGACACACCTTGTGGGACTCTTGAAAAAACACCACGGATGAAAGGCTTCCTCCAAAAAAGGAAATAGTTTACGGCAATTCAAAAACAATAGAAAAAAATGTTTTCTCCAGTAGCAGTACGGTTTGAAGCTGCTTTATCCAATGGCAAGGATGTTTCATTTGCCAAAAGCGTCAGAACAAATTCTACGCAGTAGAATTGCGAAGAAAGAGACCGCAGCTCGCACCATCATGGTTACATTTTCTCACGGCCGGCTGTGAGCCGTGGACCTAGTTTGCTCTGCCACTGACCACAGTATCAAGTTAAAAGCCCACATGAGCACCAAACGCTTGCTTGATCAAGCCCATTAGCACCATTCAATAACTTCTTCATCCTCGCCTTTGCAAGGGGACAGGAACAGATCCGAGCCTCCACAGAGTTTTTTGAAGTGCTTGAAGAGGTCCAAGACACTGTCTGGCAAACAGAAGTTGCAAACTCTTGCAGGGTGAAAACGTATATTTGACGTATTATATCGCGTTTTTACACCAAACCAGGTGGTCACAGCCAGGTCGTGACAATTTCTCGTTTCACAGTGTACCCCAAGATCGCGCTGAATTGCACGCCATGGGCATTCTGGAGGCCATGAGGCTGAATTCGGGTGTCCGGTGTTTCTATGAAGACCCATCGAGACAATGACAGCTAACATCAGCAAACCAAAGCAGATAAAGCAGGGACTTCCAAATGGTTTGATAGTGCTTTGTTCGCAAAGGTAACTACTAGTGGCGATGGCTACAAGTTGTTTTTGGTTGACATAGAACAGATTGAGGATTCAATGATCTACTATAAGAAGATGCTTACTTGAATACTTGAGGCCCAGGGGGGGTGAACGAAAGCTACAAGTCATATGAGTGGAAGTTGTTAGAAGCTCTGGCGAGCTTGGAAAGCCTGAACGAAAGAAGATTGGTGCGCGACAAAGTTTGGGCCCCATCCAAAATTATAATTGTTGATAGGGCTCAAATCTACACAGTGTTGGCCTGAGTCAGAAAGAAGTCCATCGAGCCTAACGTTCTGGTGAGGCATCTTGCGCAAGAGTTCCATCCGAACAACATGTAATCTTCCGTTGCAAGTCATAAAACATCTGAAAGAAGATGGTGACTCTATAAAGTTTGGGCCCCATCCAAAATTATAATTTTGGACGGGGCTCAAATCTACACAGTGTTGACCTGGGTCAGAAAGATCTCTATCGAGCCCAATGTTCTGGTGAGGCATCTTGCGCAAGAGTTCCATCCCAACAACATGTAATCTTCCGTTGCAAGTCATAAAACATCTGAAAGAAGATGGTGACTCTATAAAGCTTGGGCCCCATCCAAAATTATAATTTTGGATGGGGCTCAAATCTACACAGTGTTGATCTGAGTCAGAAAGATCTCTATCGAGCCCAATGTTCTGGTTATTGATTGGGCTCAAATCTACACAGTGTCGACCTGAGTCAGAAAGAACTCTAATGTTCTGGCAGCACATAAACCCAACAAATCCTGAGCTAGAGAGTTACAGAGGGACGGCCCTGGCACGATTTGAGCCCGTGACCATCTGCTTCCGAGACTGCTTCAAAATGCCCCGGGAGCTTGGGGGAGGGGAGGGGGGGGGTCAAGTGAAAAATCACTGTCAGTTGGACTCAGACCTGCCCCTCCCCTTGCTGAAGCAAGAGTAACTCAGCTAGCTACCGCTAGCTTTCGTGATAAATGTATTCAAAGGTGTCATTAATCTCATCTTTCTGAATCTTCAATAAGAAGGGTATGCCGCTACGCCTACCTCTTTGTAAAGCCGGGCTTCCCAGCCTCTGACATTGACGTTGAAAGACCGCTCAAAGTAGCCCTGCTGGTTGTGCCAAACTTGCTCGTACCACTGCTGGTCGTACCACTGCCGGAAGCGGTGCTCAATGTGCTCGACGTGCTGGATGTGCCTGCACTACTGCTCGAAGTAGATGTGCTGATCGTGCGGGACGTAGTTGTGAACGAAGTGCTGGATGTGCCTGTACTACTGCTCGAAGTGGATGTGCCTGTGCTACTGCTCGAAGTAGATGTGCTGATCGTGCGGGACGTAGTTGTGAACGAAGTGCTGGATGTGCCTGTACTACTGCTCGAAGTAGAAGTAGATGTGTTGGTGATGGTGGTTGTGGTTGTGAAGGAAGTGCTGGATGTGCCTGTACTACTGCTCGAAGTAGAAGTAGATGTGCTGGTCGTGCGGGAAGTGCTGGATGTGCTTGTACTACTGCTCGAAGTAGAAGTAGATGTGCTGGTCGTGCGGGAAGTGCTGGATGTGCTTGTACTACTGCTCGAAGTAGAAGTAGATGTGCTGGTCGTGCTGGTTGTGGTTGTGCAGGAAGTGCTGGATGTGCTTGTTGTCGACGTCTGCACAAGGTCAAGAAAGACTGTGTGCAAAGGACACACACTGCTCAGGTCTTTCAAAAGGAGTATGCAGAATGATTTTTGAGGGCTCCAAATCCTTTGGCCCAGAAATATTCAACGAGGAACAGTGGATCTTAATTCTATGTATCTCCGAGTAAAGCCTTTACACATTTTGGACTGCATTCATGACAATGCTCCTTTCAAGTACCGAACAGCAATTTTCCTATCCAAGGTCTTTGTTTCATTCACGGGCACGTTAGCCCTTGCAAAGAAAAGTTCTCTTTGGATGCTACGTGTAAACATTATTGATTGTAAATCTGTTCTTGTCTCACCACGTTAACAAGAACCTGCAAATGCATTCGAAAGTGTCTAGTCTAGTAACTTCTAGTATCTCATTTTTGCTGACTTCATGATGTGGATACAAACCCAACAATTGATGCGACGCTTCGGCCAAATCCTGTAGTCCTGAGGATATTAGAAACTTCTCTCAGAGACTTTCTCTTTTCCTGCGGACTTAAGTATTCCCAGCACACAAAGACATCCGTGATGTGAGGAACTCAAAACAAACCACCGGCGCCAAAACACAACGGGAGCGAGAAAAAAAAGACACCAACTTGGTGTCGGCTCGAACATGTAGAGTAGCAATTGAATGAAGATATTGAAATGTGCACGTGCTGTTCACTTGCGGGGGAACTGATCAGCCAGGCAAAGAACTAGACGACGGATGGCCCGAGAGCGTAGAGGAGCAGGGTCTTCTCTTGTTAGCATGGAGACACCATATTACAAAACAATATATTAAAGATGTGTTATAGGCAGTCGAGATGAAGAGGAGTATCAAGACAATATAGCACAAGTACAAGACAATAGTTTGCATCGCAAACACTTTTACACACAGAAGCTTTTACATACAGGCACTTTCACACACAGACGCTTTTACACACAGACGCTTGTACACACGGACGCTTTTGCACACAGACGCTTTTGCACACAGACGCTTTTACACACAGACGCTTTGTCACACTAACACTTTTACACACAGAAGCTTTTACACACAAAAGCTTTGACACACACAAGCTTTTTCACACAGACAGTTTTGCACACAGGCGCTTTTACACACAGAAGCTTTTACACGCAGACGCTTTTACACACAAAAGCTTTGACACACACAAGCTTTTACACACAGACAGTTTTACACACAGACGCTTTTACACACAGAAGCTTTTACACACAGACGCTTTTACACACAGACGCTTTTACACACAGACGCTTTTACACAGAGACACTTTTACACACAGGCGCTTTTACACACAGAAAGTTTTACACACAGACACTTTTACACACAGACACTTTTTCACACAGACGCTTTTACACACAGACGCTTTTACACACAGACGGTTCTACACACAGACGCTTTTACACACAGACCCTCTTACACACAAACGCTTACACTCTTACACTCACACCTTTTTACATCCAACACCAGTTAAATCGCAATTTTACCTTGGTTTTTGCACATCGAGCCTCGTTTCGTGCGAAAAGGTTGCTCCGGCACAAGTAAAATCGCAATTTTACCTCAGTTTTTGCGCATCGACCCTCATTTCGTTCAAAAGGGTTGCTCCGGGACAAGTCCGGCACAAGTAAAATCGCAATTTTACCTCAGTTTTTGCGCATCGACCCTCATTTCGTTCAAAAGGGTTGCTCCGGGACAAGTCCGGCACAAGTAAAATCGCAATTTTACCTCAGTTTTTGCGCATCGACCCTCATTTCGTAAAGGGTTGCTCCAGGACAAGTAAAATCGCAATTTTCTTCAGTTTTTGCGCATCGACCCTCATTTCGTGCAAAAGGGTTGCTCCAGGACAAGTAAAATCGCAATTTTCTTCAGTTTTTGACGATCGGCCCTCATTTCGTGCGAAAGGATTGACGTTTCGTGACTCCTCGCCGGCACCACCCTCGGCCCAAAGAGAGAAAGATAAAGAAGGCGAGAAAGAGAAAAGGGAGAAAGGAGAGAGAGAAAGGAGAGAGGAAAGAGGGGGGAGAGAGAGAGAGAGAGAGAAGATGTGAGTATGTGAAGATGTGAGTGCGAGAGAGAGAAAGAGAAGATGTGAGTATGTGAAGATGTGAAGATGTGCGTAAAGATGTGAGTGTGTGAGTGTGAAGATGTGAGTGAAGATGTGAAGATGTGAAGATGTGAGTGTGAGAGAGAGAAAGAGAAGATGTGAGTATGTGAAGATGTAAAGATGTGTGTGAGTGTGAAGATGTGAGTATGTGAAGATGTAAAGAGGAAGATGTAAGATGTGAAGATGTGAGTTTGTGAGTGTGAAGATGTGAAGATGTGAAAGTGAAGATGTGAAGATGTGAAGATGTGAAGATGTATGACAGACGCAAATGACAGACACAACTATTAGAAGAACCGTTCGCTCAGACGCTCTCGGGAAAAAATGACCCATGGCCTTGCTGGAAGCTGTTTCTGTTTCTACAGTGCTTTTCCATCGGTGGATTTCCAACACTAGTGGTTTTGGACCACTCATGACCACTTGTGTGTTAAATGACAAGCTTCGTGCCTTAGACCTTGAAGTGCTGCTGAGTGTAGCGGTGGTGGTGGTGATGCTGGATACGCTGGATGTTGTGAGTGTCAAGCTTGTGCTGGTGGTAGTTGTGGGCGTGAGTACCTGGTACATCAAGGAAATTCACCCTCTGATGCCATGAAAAATTGGAGAAGTACTAGGCACCATGGGATTTTCGGTGCAAAGCGGGTAGTGAAATCAATGCGTTTGCAACCCCTCAAGAGAATACCAGCAAAAAGTTCGCTTCCGTGAGAAAAGTCATTGGTGAAGAGAGACATTCCCACTGGGCCCTTGATCCATGGGATGGGTAACATTGTGACATCTTAACTTTCACCGGGAGTTAGTAATTAGTATCAAGTGGTATCCTTTGGTGCCCTGAGCTCGCCGTTGCTAAGACTAAATCGAGCCACCATCATGGCAAAGATATCCTCCCCTCCTGCATTGGAGCCAGTTATGACCTCAGTCCTCAGACCGCCAAGAAGAATACAACCCTTCAGAATCATTGGACTTGTGGACCTATGGCAATGCGATCTTGCTTATCAACTTATTTGAAGTGGTCTTCACTAGAAAGGCAAAGCCGAGGAAAAACACTTTGAATGTTCTTTTTTACCAGACAAACAACTTGAAGTTGCGAGGTGGACCTCCCAATTGTGAAGGCCTGGAGAGTCTACATACTTCCACCATTGTGAATGTCCATGGGAGCCCCCAAGCATTAGAAAAGTGCAGGAGACCGAGACTTGACATCAAACTGTAGCATACAAAGTTTGTCATAGCAAGAAACGTCGACCCTGCAACCAGAATGTTGCCAGCTGCTCCGAGAGAAAGTTGAACCACGCACTCCTCCCTGGTGCCTAGGAGAGTCTGCGTAAAGGGGCAGAGCTTTTCTAATTGCAAGTGCTCATTGGAAAGTGGAAGGAAGAGATATGGCATGAGACAGCCATGGCGCTTTCTTTTGAAGAGATATGTATATATGTATATAAGTATACATGTATATATATATATATACATGTATGTCTGTATGTATGTATGTATGGATGGATGGATGGATGGATGTATTAAATCATATATCCATTTGAAAGAAGATGGCCCACAGACCCATTGATAGAGGAAACACATTCAACTGTTCCCATCGCATGTAAAAGTCCAACTGTCCACATGCTTGAAAGCTCTTTCAGCTGCCGTCTTTTGCTCATCATCTCAATGAAGCGCTGGAATGCTGCCAAGAATCTAGTGCCGAGTTGGCTCACCCACTCCTGATTGCCAGTAGCATCAAGCTTCAGCAAAGCCACATCCTTGTCGCCAATCGCGACACCACCAGCGAAACTGCCCCATGCAGTGGCCATCACAAAGATCCTACCATAGGGATCCCAAACAGCTGCCCTGCCTGCACTACTACCTGTGCTGCTGCCTGTCTGAAAGATCCATTGCTGAACCCCCGAACTGTCAAGCATCAGGACTACCACGTCATAATTTCCTGTACTGCTGGCACCCATAACTCCACCCGTCATACCCGTCACAACGATGTTGCCAGCACTGTCAATGTCCATGCCGCTGAACGACTCAGATCCGCCGGTTCCTGCTTGGAAAGACCACTGATCACTCCCTGCGTGATTCAGCTTCCAAACAAACAAGTCTGAGCCGCCAGCATGATAATTGCCTTGAAAGGAGCCATAGCTTTCGCCCACCACCACAATGTTCCCTGAAGCATCCATTGCCAAGTTCCAAGCGAAGTCATAATCAGGTCCTCCGGAAAGTACCGTCCATTGATTGACCCCGTCGGAGCTGAGTTTCATCACAAAGGCGTCCACCTCCCCAGCACTCACCTGGCTGTGTAAATCACCTGCCGTCCAGCCAGCCACAAAAATGTTACCCCAAAGATCCACCTGAACTCCAGTGCCTTCCTGCTGGGTACCCGTCCCAGTCTGGTAGGTCCACTGCAAAGTTTTGAAACGGTCAATTTTCATCACGAAGATGTCCGTCTGGCCGCTGTGGCTCTGCCCGTTCAGGCTCCCGGAAGTAGCGCCCGTGAGGACAATGCTGTTGAAGCTATCGACAGCCAGCCCATACACCTGGTCATTCCCGTCGCTTCCTGTTTGATAAGCCCACAGCTGACTCCCATCTTCACTCAGTTTCATAGTAAAGACGTCCCCATAGCCAGCATTGGAGCCCGAAAAACTTCCCATGGTATTTCCTGCCAGAATCACATTCCCACAGGAGTCCAGGACCGCACCAAGAAGGACATCGTCAACAGAAGTTCCAGTCTGAAAGGTCCAGGACACCTGCCCCAGTGGAGAAGGAACCAGCTTTATCAGCAGATGTTTGTTAAATCTCCTGTGAAGTAGCTTGTGATATGTTCGCAGGAACAACTTTGATCAGAAGCATCAACACGGATAAAACCATCAACACACTGCGACTTCACTGACGGTCTGGGAACCGGCGAAACAGCTATACAACGGCTACTCCAAGGAACAATTGGAAAGCAGGTGGAAACCAGACGTAGATGTGAAACAATAGAAGACAACTCTCTTGAATAGCATGCAAATCTCCTGGAAAGTACTAAAGACACAAGGCGCCAGCCGTAGTACAAGCTTGGCACAGTGCCACAGGCACTGCAAGGCCAAACAGGCAAAAGATCAAGCGCGAATGCAACCATCAAACTTCAGCACAAAGCAACTGAAAGGTTAAAAACAGACCTATTGGATCACTGGGAAAGTTCCTGGATATCAGGATTGCTTGGATGTTCTCATGTTCCGTTCATGTCCCTCTGCCTACACAAAGGCATTCCCCAAGCCTGACCACTGGTAGATGGTGCAGGATCCGGAACTCGCAGCACCTGGGTAACTGCGGCAACGATGAACAAGTGAACAAGTCAAAGAAACCAAATTAGGTTCTAATGATTCAGAAGTATTCAGAATCTTAGTCAGTCTCCACACTGTCGTAAGTGGACTGGGATGATGTATTGCAGCATGTCGCCCCAGGTCCACGGACAGGCACAATGGCCTTAAAAGGAATTTGAAAAGAGCTGGTTCGGTCATGACATGAGTACATAGAAACCAGCAAAAAGATAGAAAAGTAAATTTCCAGAAATTTAACTTCACTATGCTTTTCTATCTTTTTGAGGTTGCTAGAAATCAAAGCCGCCTTCATCACGAAAATATCGTCGCTGCCAGCATGGGCGTTGCCGTTTAATCCACCGCCTCACCGATGATTGCAACAACCGCAACAACAATGATGAAATGACTTGGGATTTGGGATAGTGCAACCTAAAATTATGATTTATCCAGAAAAATGTTTGACAATGACCTATGGCTTGGATCAGCTATGGGTCACAATCTAAGATGACTAATCAGCTGTGCCAGACATTCGTCCAAGTAGTCCAAGTCGTCCAAGTCGTCCAAGGACCCCTGCCTGTGGTACCCGCCAAGATGACGTTGTTCGACGCATCCAATTGCACAGCGTGTGCAATATCTCCAGCAGTGGTCCCCGCAACGAATTTCCATTGAAGTGACCCTGTGCTGTCAAGCTCCACTGCCAAGATGTCTTCGCCTTGGTGAAATGACGTGTGGCTTTGATCCCACAGCAGCCTCAAGGAAGTCATGTGCACGATGTGAAGAGAAAAAATGAAAAGATTATCTTCAAAAAATATGACCAGTTCATTCCTTGCATGTTTTTGTCATTTCTGCAGATTGGTCACTGCCTCCCAACCCATTCTTGATGGAACCTGCTAAAAGAATGCGGCCTGAAGGTATGATCTGAAGACTTCCAGCCCACTCCTCCCTTGCAGTTCCAGTCTGAAAGGTCCACTCCCAGGACCCTTGGGCATCCACTTTCATGGCAAAGAGATCCACTGAGCCAGCATTGCTGTTGCCATCCAAGCTACCAGCAGTCCAACCTGCCAGGACCAAATCTCCATAGGAATCGATTTCCAAGGCTGTTGCACTGTCATCTGCGCTGCTGCCCCTTTGAAAGGTCCACAGCTGCGACCCTGCACCGCTGAGTTTCATTGCAAAGATGTCCTGATGTTGACCAAAACATATTGCCAAAACACATTTTTTCGTGCATTGAAGAGCCTTGGGAAGACAGCCGGCAAGCGCAAACACTAGTGGGGGTTCCTGAAAAATGGTTTCGAAACCCTTGCGTCTTTATTGACCAGTACATACTGACCACACACACCATATGTTCACCTCAAAAACAGACGCGAACGCAAACCCTGATCCTTGGATCCAGCATTTGTATTCCCAAGGTCACCGGTAGTGTAGCCTGCTAAACCCAGGTCCCCAGAAGCATCAATGCGGAGTGCCGTTGCGACATCCTTCCCGCTGCTGCCAATTTGAACAGTCCATTGATGTGACCCCGCACTGTCCAGCTGCATCACAAAAATGTCAGTATCACCAGCACTCGACCCTTGCATGGATCCATCGGTAGAGCCTGCCAGCAAAATGTTGCCAGAAGCATCGGTCTCAACAGCAAAGGCATAGTCTGCCGATGCGGTGCCAGTCTGGTAGGTCCACTGCTGAGAGCCCGTGTCATCCAGTTTCATGACAAAGATGTCAAAACTTCCAGCAGAAGCTCCACTGAGGTCGCCTGGGAAAGCCAACTGTTTTTGGGCCAGTCTAATGATGGAAGAAACTCTGCAACCGGGGAAATTCCGCAAGTAGTTGCTGGAACAGGCAGAATATCCATACATTTTTCCCCACCTGCCAGGTGAGGGTCTCTAGATTTTATCAATAGTACTTTCTCCTTCCTTCCTTTTTCCTTTTTCTTCCTTCTTCTTCCTTCTTCTCCTCCGGCAGCCTCGGATCGCAACTGCGAGCTCCAGAGCTCAGTGGGCACTGCCGGACGGGTAGACACTGGGGAAAAAAAAACTTTTGACTACTGGAAAAAAAAAATTAAGGTTCACCCCTACTCTCCACACTAGAAAAAAAAAACAAGACACTGGAAAAAAAAATACGAATCTGTACTTTGAACCTCTTTGCAGCTGAAATCTCTTATTTGTACAATATGTGCAGGGTTTGGGCACTTAAACATGCAATTGCGCGATGATATTTAAAGCGTGTTGGCCTTGAATAATTCAATCTTATGTGCAGCTGAAATCTCTTATTTGTACAATATTTGCAGGGTTTTGGAACTTAATTATGCAATTTGCATGGTATTTAAAGTGTTTTGGCCTTGAATCCCTTGTTTGCACCGTGCTCGCAGCATCTTGGAGCCAGCATCTGTACTACGCAGAGGATTATCTGCAGCATTTCGTTTCATGTGCAACATATTGTCTGGAGTTAGATTTTGGACCTATTTCAGGTTGGTTAGGGTGCATTTGGGAGATCAAAGGATGAGAAGGGTAAAGGACCAGGATGAGGAGGGTAAGGGACCAGGGGATCAAGAGGACCCAGGGACCAGGAGACCAAGGGACCCTGGGACCAAGGGATCAGGGGAACCTTAAATTATGTTTCCAGTAAATTATATTTTTTCCAGGGTCTTAGATTTTTTTCCAGTATCATCCCCTGCCGGACCTCAACTGCGAGCTTCGGAGCTCAACCGCGAACTCCAGATCTCAGTGGGCACTGCCGGACCTCAACCACGAGCGCCAGATCTCAGTGGGCAGTCCCCACTGAGATCTGGCGACCGTGGTTGGGGCCCGGCATTGCCCATGTCAGATAGAATGCCCGAAAGGATGCCAGATAGGATGTCAGAATAGATGCCAGATAGAATGCCAGAATAGAATGTCTGAAAATATATGCCATATATACTTCCAAATGAGATGTCAGAAACTACGACACAATATGGAAAACACTTTTTTTGGACCTCGTTACATTTCTTTTGGACCTGGACACTTTTACTGGACGTTACTACAATTCTTTTGGGGATGGCTACCCTTCTTTTGGGGTGACCAATCCCTTGCGGCAGTAAGATTCAATCACTTGCGGCAGTAAGATAAAAATCACTTGCGGCAGTATGATTCAATCACTTGCGGCAGTAAGACTCTTCAAAACCAATCACTTGCGGCAGTAAGAATATTGAAAACCAATCACTTAGTGCAAACAAACAATAGGGAAACACAACCGCTACTCCACTTCCTTCCTGAGACTTACCATCCCACTTCAACCTTGGGGGGCGAGGTGGGGCTAGGGAAGAAAAGGGCAGGATCTACCAGCCACAACGATGCGATTCAAGCCACTTAATAGCTGGACCCACGTCCCCAAGATTTGAAAACACCAACGATGAATCCCGAATTTTAATATCCCATTCGTATTACTCACACTGGGGATGTTAGGGCCACCTGGTTATGGGAACATAAATTTTCACAATGAGCAGATATTAATCGTAACATAAACTGTGGTTCTTTTCAGGAACACTCACATGGGACCTGCCTTATTGTACACTGTTTCATATTAACCATCTAAAATCGTGCTTGTCTGCCGTTCCCCAAAAAATCAAATCGCTTATTGAACCCTTATTAAAGAACATTTTCCAGACATTTCAAAAGCACTGGGCCATGAGATGATCCAATTCACTTTAATAGGTTTGTTCTCATGGTTCACAATTGCAGCAACATTTTCCAGAGCTGATCCTAGAGCCAAGAGAAGAAAGTAAGCCTTTTCCAAAAGCAACTGCCAAGTTCAAATCCCAAGTCCCAGCCGCTTACTGCCACAAGCGATTGGTTTCGTATACCCTAGCATCAAAGACACTCACTTACCGCCACAAGCGACAGATTTTTTACCGCCACAAGCGATTGAAAACGGAAAAGCGATATTACCGCCACAAGCGATTAGGCCTTCAAATGCTGCACCTGCCACGCAAAAACAGCAATCACCTGCGGCAGTAAAAAAAATCACTTGCGGCAGTAAAAAATGAACGTTTTTACTGCCACAAGCGATTGGCACATCTTACCGGCACAAGCGAGGTATCAGCCTTCTTTTGGACCTGCACACCCTCCTGCTGGACCTCATCCTTCCCTCCTGCTCGACCTGGCCCTTTCCCAAAGATGGGTCATTGGTGAGTTCGTTGCTGCTTGCGAGGGGTATAGCCAGTCTGGGAGCCTTGACCGCGCTAGCAGCTAGCATGCAACATGGCAGGAAGCCTTTCCTGTACACGGTCTGCTCCCAAACCATACCCCCTTTGGATAGATTCTCCAGTTTCTTTCCGGCCGCGTCTTGATCGCAATTCTTCAGACACAGTTCTTGCATTCATCTTCTTGCATTCCAGCCGCGTCTACATGTCCATACGTCCTGTGACCAGATACCAACCAACGAGGTTACATTGATTTCGATGTGGACTCATGTGGCACCCTCAGCTGCGACCATTGCGCCCAGGAGCATCCATCGCCGGTACGTTTACACATCTGTCCATGACGGTCTTCGTTGCCTGCAGCCGATGTGGGTTCAATGTCTAGGCTTCGCCCGTCATCTCTCAGCAACTTATTGCGCTCATCTTGTTTTAATCCGCCGATCCCGGCCTTCTCCAAGGCAGGGGCGGCGCCTGGGACCGGAGGTGTGGAACTTGCTTTGTCACGCCCATGGCCTTCACATTGTCCAAGGCTTCCACCAAGCCCTGTGGCCATAAGCCTGTGCTGTTCCAGTGTTGCAACCTCCCGTTTGCGTGCACATAGCCTCTGCCCTTGCTGTTCCAGCGTTGCAGCCTGCCGTTTGCGTGCACATAGCCTCTGTTGTTCGGGCGTTCAAGCCTGCCGTTTGCCAGCCTTCAAACCCTTAAAAAACCCCTAACATGCTTCGCCGGCTGTTTGCCTGCAGCCCTCTGTTGTTAGGGCGTCCATGCCTAGGGCGCCTCCCGGCAGCGGTGTGGCCGTAAGCCTCTGCTGTTCCAGCGCTGCAGCCTGCCGTTTGCCTGCACATAGCCCTCTGCTCTTAGGGCGTTCAAGCCTGCCGTTTGCCAGGCTCCAAACCCCTAAAACCCCTAAAATGCTTCAAATCCGTCGCGGCAGCTTCCACCAAGCGCTGTTCCACCAAGCCCTGTGGCCATAAGCCTGTGCTGTTCCAGTGTTGCAACCTGCCGTTTGCGTGCACATAGCCTCTGCCCTTGCTGTTCCAGCGTTGGAACCTGCCGTTTGCCTGCATAGCCCTCTGTTGTTAGGGCGTTCATGCCTAGGGCGCCTCCTTGTGGCCGTAAGCCCGTGCTGTTCCAGCGCTGCAGCCTGCCGTTTGCCTGCACATAGCCCTCTGTTCTTAGGGTGTTCAAGCCTGTCGTTTGCCAAGCTCCAAACCCTGAAAACCCCTCAAATGCTTCAAATCCGTCGCGGCAGCTTCCACCAAGCCCTGCTGTGAGCCTTTGCTGTTCCAGCGTTGGAACCTGCCGTTTGCCTGCATAGCCCTCTGTTGTTAGGGCGTCCATGCCTAGGGCGCCTCCTTGTGGCCATAAGCCCGTGCTGTTCCAGCGCTGCAGCCTGCCGTTTGCCTGCACATAGCCCTCTGTTCTTAGGGTGTTCAAGCCTGCCGTTTGCCAGGCTCCAAACCCCTAAAACCCCTAAAATGCTTCAAATCCGTCGCGGCAGCTTCCACCAAGCCCTGCTGTGAGCCTTTGCTGTTCCAGCGTTGGAACCTGCCATTTGCCTGCATAGCCCTCTGTTGTTAAGGCGTCCATGCCTAGGGCGCCTCCTGGTGGCCATAAGCCCGTGCTGTTCCAGCGCTGCAGCCTGCCGTTTGCCTGCACATAGCCCTCTGTTCTTAGGGTGTTCAAGCCTGTCGTTTGCCAAGCTCCAAACCCTTAAAACCCCTCAAATGCTTCAAATCCGTCGCGGCAGCTTCCACCAAGCCCTGCTGTGAGCCTTTAGCTGTTCCACCAAGCCCTGTGGCCGTAAGCCTGTGCTTCCATTGTTGCAACCTGCCGTTTGCGTGCACATAGCCTCTGCCCTTGCTGTTCCAGCGTTGCAGCCTGCCGTTTGCCTGCACATAGCCTCTGTTGTTCGGGCGTTCAAGTCTGCCGTTTGCCAGGCTCCAAACCCCTAAAACCCCTAAAATGCTTCAAATCCGTCGCGGCCTGCCATTTGCCTGCATAGCCCTCTGTTGTTAGGGCGTCCATGCCTAGGGCGCCTCCTTGTGGCCGTAAGCCTTTGCTGTTCCAGCGCTGCAGCCTGCCGTTTGCCTGCACATAGCCCTCTGTTCTTAGGGTGTTCAAGCCTGCCGTTTGCCAAGCTCCAAACCCTTAAAAACCCCTCAAATGCTTCAAATCCGTCGTGGCAGCTTCCACCAAGCCCTGCTGTGAGCCTTTGCTGTTCCAGCGTTGGAACCTGCCGTTTGCCTGCATAGCCCTCTGTTGTTAGGGCGTTCATGCCTAGGGCGCCTCCTTGTGGCCGTAAGCCCGTGCTGTTCCAGCGCTGCAGCCTGCCGTTTGCCTGCACATAGCCCTCTGTTCTTAGGGTGTTCAAGCCTGTCGTTTGCCAAGCTCCAAACCCTGAAAACCCCTCAAATGCTTCAAATCCGTCGCGGCAGCTTCCACCAAGCCCTGCTGTGAGCCTTTGCTGTTCCACCAAGCCCTGTGGCCGTAAGCCTGTGCTTCCAGTGTTGCAACCTGCCGTTTGCGTGCACATAGCCTCTGCCCTTGCTGTTCCAGCGTTGCAGCCTGCCGTTTGCCTGCACATAGCCCTCTGTTCTTAGGGCGTTCAAGTCTGCCGTTTGCCAGGCTCCAAACCCCTAAAACCCCTAAAACCCCTAAAATGTAGTCTCTTTGATGCATTCCAGCTGATCAGCGGATGGCTTTGAGCCACTGATCACAGGTGCCTCAGGTGCCTGGTCATCATTTGCAAGCATCCCCTGCTGAAATGGAGCATGAAAGCCAAGCAGAGATGGATTTCAAAAAAAAATCGCTGTTGCAAAAAATCATCTCGCAAAGACCCGAATACATCCAAACACACCCACATGCACGTGGTGAAATTCCTGTTTAATGGGCAGGTACAATGGCAGTCTAAGAGAAATAACATTAAATAAATCATGCCATTGACCTAAACAGCCACTAGAATACACACAGAAGAGGGACAAAAAGGGGGTCGGCGGCACCCGGGCGCTAGCCCATTTTATTTTATATCTAACTTTCTCTTCCCCCAATGTGCCTTTCAACTTCCTGCATCCATTTGGTTTCATATGTAGGTTCCCCCCGTTGGCCTCCACAACTTCTTGCCTTGATGTTGTTTCAATATCCAAATTTCTCCTGCGCCCCTGTGCCTCCCAGCAACTTCCTGCATGCATTTGGTTTCAATATCTCGGCTTCCCCCGTCTCTCAACAACTTCTTGCGCTCATCTGGTTTCAATATCTAACTTCCCCCCCTGTGCCTCTCATCAAACGTCCTTAACTTCCTGCATTCATTGGGTTTCAATATCTATACTTCCCCCGTAGCTCCCCATAACTTCTTGCGTTCATTTTGTTTTAATATCTAAGCTTCCTCCCCGGTGCCCCTCAACAACTACCTGCATTCATCTTGCTTCAATATTCCCGGTGCCCCTGAGCAACTTCCTGCATTCATTTGGTTTTATATCTGGTTCCACCGTGGCCTCCTAAAGTCTCCCCCACCTCTGCCTCTCCACAGCTTCCCGCATTCATGCGGTTTCAATATCTCAGCTTCCCCTCGTCTCTCCACAGCTTCTTGCAAGCACTGTCATTTGGGTTCAATATCTAGACTTCCGCTTCTCGCCTCAGCAACTTCTTGCGTTCATCCTTGTTTCGATATCTAACTTTCCCCTCTCCCACCTGCCTCTCTCTCACCAATTTTCTGCGGTCACCTGGCTTCAATATCTACATGTTCCCCCGTTTCTCTCAACACCTTCTTGCATGCATCTTGTCTCAATATCTAAATTCCCCCCACCTTGTTCCGGCATTCATTTTCGGGTCCCAAAAATTCCCCCTGCGTCTCTCAGCATTTTTTTGCATGTATCTTTATGTATCTTCATTTCGTTTCAATGTCTAGGCTTCACCCCTCATCTTTCAACAACTTTTTGCACTCATCATGTTCCAATATCGAACTTTCCCTTCCCCCTATGTGCCTCCCAATTTCCTGCATCCATTTCGCTTCATACGTAGCCTTCCCCCATTGACCTCTCCCCCCGTTTTTGTTTCAATATCCGAACTTCCCCGGCATCAACAACTTCTTGCATGCATCTTGTCTCAATATCTAAATTCCCCCCACCCTGTGCCAGGTCCAAAAAAACGTGTACGGGTTCCAAAAAAGAAGGCGCCAAGGTCCAAAAAACAACCGGCCCAATGTGAGCGCCTATAACAATGGAGTTCCCCCCCACCCTATGGAGGCAAGGTCCACGAAGCAGGTGCACGGGTCCAAAAAACAGAAACCGAGCTCAGAAATAATTAATTTGGCTGTCGAAAAAAAAACTGGGTCCAGCACAAATACATGCAGGTCCAAAAAAAATATCCCCACAGGGTCCAGAAAACACACAGGCAAGTCCCCCACATTTTTTGTGACCCTAGGTCCAAAAAAAAATCCGGTTAGGTCCAAATAACATGTACAGGTCCAAAAAAAGGTGCCCAGGTCCAAAAAAACATGCATCCCACACAATAACTTGTCACGGTGGGGATCACTCGTAGTAAGGTAATCCATGTGCTGATCCTGTACAGATAAATATAGATTTTGGATTATTGGATACTAGATATTAGATATTGGATAATAGATATTAGATATTGGATATTAGATATTAGATATTAGATATAGATATAGATAGAGATATAGACATAGATATAGATATAGACAAAGGTTTGATGATGTGTACATATATATGTATATATACATTTACATATCCTCGTACATGCACATGTACACAAGAAAGAGTGTGATATAAGTGTTTTGTATGAGTGCACATACACATGTGTGTATATACAAATATACACACCTATTATATACATATATATTTAGATATTATATGATACACATATATTGCATATGTTTTTTCTGGACTAGTCCTGCGACTTTAGATATTGGCATACATGCTCTGCACATTTTCATCCGGCGAAATCCCCCGGAGCACCTGCTGTCCATCCAGCTACAAAGATGCTGCCGCTGGCTGCAAGATGAATTGCCTGACAGATCCAAATCTGAAATGAAATCCCAAACTCGGCCAACCCAGTGAGTTCTTGTGTGAAATGGAGAAGATTCTCGGCCCCTCAACTCTGAAACATATCCAGGTACAGTGTGTTCATAGTGTTTGTCAAGACATGATTTTCTTGTGCTCTTTATTTCTACTGCGCAGTTAGCCAACAGCCACGCTGAAGACACGGTGTCTCGGTGGTTCAAACACGGTTTTCTGATCCCGGTGAAGCACCTCAGCAGTGTCCTGAGCAGTGCTTCCTGTCTGATAAGTCCACTGACGCGACCCCGTGCTGTCCAGCTTCATGACAAAAAGGTCGGAGTCACCAGCGCTACCAGAGCCATCCAGCGCACCATTAGTTTCACCTTGAAAGGTATCCGGAGTGAAAATGATGAGTCCAATGATTCTATGATGAGGTCAAAATGAAAGAAACAAGCAACAAGAAAGATGTGTTATTCTCGAACATGGCTTGGCAGAGGCCTAAACATCCTAAGATCCTATATCCTGTTATCATCGTGGACTGCAACACCATAGCCATGCACCTCACCTGTGAGGAAGATGTTGCCAGAAGAATCGATTTGAAGAGCATTGACGCCATCAGCACCACTGGTCCCAGTCTGAAAGGTCCAGCTCAGTTGCTGAACCTGGAGCCCAGTGGACAGGACCAGGTGTGTGGATTATGGATATGTCGAAGCTGATGCGAACTGGATACATAGAAACCATAGAAATCCAAGGCTTTTAGTACAACGAACTGGACCCCAAGTCATCACCATTTTACCATTTGGATTTATATGGATCATCGATATCCATCGATATCCATCGATATCCATCAGGAGAAGGGTCGACCAGCAGCATCTTTCGGGTCTGTTTTGAAACATGGAAATCCCAGCCACTGATTCTGCATGGAACTGACGGGCCGATGGATGGTACGGAACTGGGGAGGTTTTTTTGAATGGACCAACTAGATAGACATATACTTCGGTGCATGGATGGATTGATGGATGGATATTTAGCTGGCTCGCACCAACACAGATGGATATGTAGGAACATTGTTGATGCGATGGACACAGAGAGAGAGAGATGAGATGAGATGAGATGAGATGAAATTAGATGAGATGAGATGAGATTAGATGAAATGAGATGAGATGAGATGAAATGAGATGGGATGGGATTGGATTGGATAGGATAGGATGGAATGAGATGAGATGAGATGAGAGCACTGCTTCCAGTAGAAAGAAATAGATGCATGTATGCATCTGTTTGTCTGCCTGTGTGTATGTATCTTCAATATGTATATATATATATTCGTATATTAAATTTATACATATGCGCATCTCAGCCTGTCTTGTCTGTGTGTCTGTCTTATCTGTCCTACCTGGCTTATCCGTATTTGCCTGACTCATCTTTCTTATGTGTTTTATCTGTCTTTTATAGCTATCTCTATATTATCTGTATATATATATATATACAGTATATACTATGCCTCGTTTCTTACCTATTGTATCTATCGTATTGTTATCTCATCAACACTTACCCAATTCATCTATCTATCGATCGATCTCCGTATCTACATTCTGTTCTATCAAATCCTATTCAACCCTATGTATCCTATCTATCCCACCATGCCATGTATATATCCGGTATCTATACATCTCATGCGTACAGTTCGGTTGGACAGAAAGTCGAGGCCCAGCAGCCTGATTTCATTTTTCAAACATCCAACACCCGCTAGATAGTCCCCCTTGATCCCCCTTGGTCCCCTTTGATCCCCTTTGGCGCCTTCATGAGATAGGCATCCACTTCTCCTGCATTGCTGCCACCCAGGCCTCCACTGGTGTAGCCGGCCAAAATGACGGCCTCGTCAGCGTCCAACACAAGGCGTCCTTGCAACATATCCGCCGAACTGCTGCCGGTCTGAAAGATTTTTTGCACGGATGAACCGTCACTGTCCAGTTCCATGATGAAAAGGTCTTCCCCTCCTCTGTTGCAGCTTCCATGCCAGGCACTTGTGGTGGTTCCACCCAGAATGATGTTGAAAGTTCCGATTGCAAGTCCCCTGATGTAGTCGTCGCCTTCAGTGCCAGTCTGGAAGGTCCACTGCTGTGTGCCTGCACTGTTCAACTGCATCACAAAAATGTCCGTGCCACCTTGGTTGATGTTCCCTAGATCTACATCTGTCCAGCCTCCCACCAGGATGTTTCCAGAAGAATCAATCCCGAGGTGACCGCCCTGGTCATTACCAGTGCTACCCGTTTGGAAAATCCACTGGGAAGACCCTGAATTGTTGAGTTTCATCACATAAATGTCGGATTGGCCAGCATTCGAGTAGCTGTCAAGTTGGCCATCCGTCCAACCTGCCAAGACAATGTCGTCGGAAGCATCCAACTTGAGGTCCCATAGAATTTCGTCCGAAGTGCTTCCCGTCTGGAAGGTCCACTGCGTTGACCCCGAACTGTCAAGCTGGAGGACGAGAATGTCTCGACTATTCCCAGCATTCGAGAAATCAGGGAATGATCCCCATGTGAATCCTCCAGCGATAATATTTCCTGACGAATCAATCTGAACAGCATATAGATCTTCATCACTGCTAGTTCCTGTTTGCATCGTCCACATATGGCTGCCGACACTGTCGATTTTCATCACAAACATGTCATAGCTGCCAGCATTCACGGCATTTAGGTCTCCAAGGGTAGAGCCAACTACAAGAATATTGCCTGTGCTGGACTCAATCTGAACAGCCCGCGCATTGTCACCAGCAGTGGTTCCAGTTTGAAACGTCCAATTCTTGGAACCTGAACTGTCGAGTTTCATCACAAATATGTCGAAACTGCCAGCATTTGAGTTTCCATCTAAGCTGCCAAAGGTAAAGCCAGCAACTACGATGTCATCCCCAAGAGTCTCAACTGCATTGACATGTTCGGTCACGCTGGTTCCAAACTGATATGTCCAGCTCTCTTGTTGCGCCTGCAAAGAGCACTTAAGAAAAAGGTGAATCCCTGCATGAATAAAATGCATGTGGAAACAGCATCGTGTTTGCATTTGGTTGGAATGTTTTCCCACCATTGGTCACAATGGCAGACAATGGCATCATTTAATCTTTATATAGGCATATACGTATAGACAACAAAGTTTTGGCATTTACAAATAGAATAAATCAGAACATGTTGTCTCGTCTACATTAAATGTAGGCAAAATTTGCACCACCTTTGGATATCCTCACGTGGCCCTGTCCCCACACGAAAGGTTGTCCCATGTTAAGCAGGGATGTTTGGATTCCCCGAAAACAAAATTATAACATTCACAAATACATACATACACACATACACACATATACAGACATACATTACATTACATTGCATTGCATTGCATTGCATTGCATTACATTACACTACATTACATTTTACATTACGTTACATTACATTACATTACATTACATTACATTGCATTGCATTACATTGCATTACATTACATTTTACATTACATTTTACATTACACTACACTACATTACATTTTACATTTTACATTACACTACATTACATTGCATTTTACATTACATTACACTACATTACATTACATTATATTACATTACATTGCACTTTACATTACATTACATTACATTATATTACATTACATTGCATTACATTACATTACACTACACTACATTACATTACATTTTACATTACACTACACTACATTACATTACATTACATTACATGACATGACATGACATTACATTACATTACATTACGTTCAATTCATATATATATATATACACATATAATCACATATTATATATATATATACAATTGTAAAATTGGTTTGATTTGTTCGGTATGAAAAAACAATCAGGGATCTTTCAGCCTCAACAATGCAGCTATTGATCCACAGCAACAGGCATGCAAAAGCAACACTCACCATTGCAGATTCTTGCGGCATGTCAGCGCCAATTTTGCCACACCCTGGAAGATTTAGACAACCAGAAAAGGGTTGGAATTCATGGTGTTGCAATGACAGGTGAAGAAAGTCAACAATAATAAAGTAATGTGTTTGTTTCACAGCCATGCGTACTGTTCTCCAACAAAAATAATCGATTTGTTTGTGATTCCCTGCTTCACCGTAAATGCAAATCTAGCACGTTCGAGCGCAAAAGCGAGCACACACGTTCAAACACTGGTTCCAAAATAACAAACTACGAGGATTTTTTAATCCAAAGGTTTTGCTATGCAAATGTCATTTCGTTTTAGTTTTCAACCAAAATCACAACAAAATGCAGACCGTCGATTGCCGTGGCGTTGTGCCACCCAAACATTACCCAAAAATTCATCAAGCGAAAACATTGGTTAGTGTGAAAGGATTCAAATCGACCATGTTGATTCAAAAACGGATTTCAACTGCAAATGAGGGTTCAATTGCAAATTCGGACAAAAACATAAACAAAATTTGAACCAAAATCAATGTTGGTACGCGCCTGATTTTTTACGAATTCCTTTGGGTTGCTTGCGTTCTGCACACTCGGTCTACTCACAGAGATGTATTGGCCAAATTTAGCCAAAAACGCACATGGACAATGGCCCGAAAAAAGGGATGGCATACTGTGCTGCACAGGATTACGTTCAGGTTGTTAAGTTTCCGCGCGTTTTCTCGAATCACAACAATCTGGCAACACGGCAAATTCCCTCTGAGTTGGGCCCGCGCAGAGCATTTATTGGATGCACAGGGGTTTCTGCGGCAGGAACAGAAAGTAAACGTGGAAACTGGATCCCAAGATTTTTCTGGGGGTTGCGGGTCTCCCCCGTTTGTTTAATACACAGCGGCATTTTTTGAGAGTTGTGTCCTTCCACACTTGGTTGGCGGTTTGCGGGGAGCAATATATTACATCCCACTATTATAGAAAATATTCGGGATTGTCCAGGAATCGATCTTCTTTTGAAACAGGTTTGGAAACACGTCCAAACCAATTTCAAGTACAAGACAAACTAATTCAGAGACCCAACATGGGAGAACATCCAAGATTTTGAATTACTTGTTGCAACATGTTTTTTTTGTGGGGTCGCCGGGGGGTCCTCAATTAATATGTTCTGTTTGAAACCAATTTGGACCAACACAAAGGTGGATCATCCATCCCCATGTATATATATATTCTATTTGAAAGTGGTTTGTCACCAGATTCTATTTTCAGAATTCGGGGTTGGTATGATCAATATCTGCATTGTTTTGAAATTGACTCCAGGATCCCTCGTGGGTGTAAATCCCGATTTTCCACCATTGCGTGCAAAATCTGGTGTTTGAGTTTTTCCCAATTGATCCGATTACATTTCAATTAGAAAATATTCAAGTATATTTTTCTGAATATTTTTGCGCCGCCCAGATTCTCCATTTCGCTTGCAAAACTCCGAATGTTTTGAAGGTGTTCCAAGGGCATTTCACGAGTAAAAAAAATATTCCAATCGATTGTTCTTGCATGACCCCCAACAGCCCAGATTATCCAATTCATGTGCAAAACATTGTGTTTTCACGTTTTCCCAAAGGCATTTCACAATTATATAAGTAAAATATTCCGATAATCCATTGTTGTTGCACGACCCCCAAACAGGCCAGATTGTCCATTTTTTTGTGCAAGACCGAGTGTTTCCAGGTTTTTTCAAAGGCTGCTGTTTTGAGGTTTTTCTAAAAACATTTCAAACACAAAATAGTTATTGCTGAAGATTTCTGCAACTCAATCATTAAACATGCAAAGGATCGCAGTAACTCATTTTGACACGTGGGGGACATGAGGTGAGAACAGAATGTGATGTGAGTTGACGTGTTGCATCAACACTCATTTTTTGCCATAAAAACACATTCCTACGGGGGGTCTTCCACAAACAAGTTTTTCTTCTACGATCCCTAGCATCCCAGATTTTACAATTTTGTTTGCAAAATCTAGTGTTAAGATGCTTTCCCAAAGTCTGCGGCGGAACACCTGGTCTGCCCCTGGCAATCTTTGGACTCCCGCTCATTGGAGGTGGTGGCGGAGGCGGCAGCGACTTCTTCGTCGTCCCCACCGAACTCACCGTCCCCAGGTACTGTCCACCCACCTGAGATGCTGAATCCTCTGGGCGGATGTCGTCCATCTCATGGGTCTTCGAAGGAGCTGTGGGGATAGTCCCCATATTTCCCTGAAGCCTGACTCGAGGCCGGGTCTCCCCTGCCCCCTCGTACTTGATAACGCCCTCAGTAAGAGACACTCTCCTCACCTTCTGCGGGCAGTTGGCACTCAGATGCCCCTTCTCACCACACTGGTAGCAAGTACGATTCTCAGTAGGGTACCTGGAAAACCCTGATTGCGTAGCTCGAAACTTCTGCTCCCTGTCTACACAGGCTTGACTTCCATTGTCTCTCTTCTGCCTGAAATAGGGTCGAAAAAACTTCGAACTGGCACATCTCCCCCACGAGCTGGAATCTCAAAGACTGGTGCAGGCTGAGCACGCTCTTCCTTTGCAGTCTTCTTAATCTCTTCCCACTTTGCCTTCTGGCGTCTCTTCGTCTCCTGGTTCTTGAAGCGGTTCTTCCCGGGTACCTTGGCAGTTGTCCCAGGCTCTGTTTTCACCTTGGTGATCTTGCGCCTCGGCATGAGCTTGGCTGTAGGCCTCTTGGGCATTTTCTTCACCTGAGGTTTCCTTCCAGATCCAGAAGACGGTCCACCTGGCGGCTTCTCTCCTGAAGTTGCTTCACCTGTGGCTGGTCCACCTGAAACTGCTCCTTTGGTATCTGGTGTACCTGAAGCAGTCGCCATTGGTTCACCTGATGAAGTTTCAACCACTTCCTCGACCACTGCATCTCGGCGCATAACGCCCCCAGTCGGGTCTTCTCTCGGCTCTCCTGTCGTCCAGTCCACACGAGTGAACCCAGAGACACTAGACCGTGTGTCTTCCTCTGCCATCAGCGCGACAACAAGAGGCAAACTGTCCGGGTTCGTCAAGCTTTCTTGAGCAAACACAGCTTTCACATGACAAAATGATCTCTGATCTCATGAAACTTCCAGTTCTTCTTCCAAAGCAAACAAAATCAAACGTTCTCCGCACAAAACGCAGTTCCTGTTTGACAAACATGAAATTGGTTTCGAATAACTATTGTCACAAAAACTTTCAAGCAAAAACCAAGGATGTTCGAAATCAAACTGAAATCAACTTTCACAAATCCAAGCATGTTCCTGTAAAATAAAAACTTCTGAGTTGGCAAGCACTTGGTAAAACAATCCGCTGGGTTCAAAGTTCCTGGAACATGCGACAAAAGCAAAACTTTGCGATCCATCAACTCTCGGAGCCAATAAACTTTAATCTCAATGTGTCGACTCTTTCGTTGCAAATCAGATGCTTCGAGAAGCATTTTCCCTGACAAACTGTCGGTCTTGACGACCAGTGGAAACAAGTATGAAACTTTCATAGAGTCTTCATCATCAGACTCTGCTTCGTCATACCAAGTCACCTGAGCGTCCTGAGGGATAATGTCAACCCATGGATACAAACGACCAAGCACAAAACCCAAAGTCCTGAGCAAGCCGATTCCTTCCTGAACACCTGACTGTAATGCAACAAGCTCAGCCTCACAGGAGGAGAGCGTCACAGCTGACTGGTGCCTGCTGAAACACTTCATCAAACACTGTTGAAAGATGAAACAAGTACCTGAAACGGAACGACGTCCAGTACTTTTCATGGGTGCAAACCCAGCATCTGTGTACACTTCCAAACCTTTCACATCGGGCAAAGAAAGCTCTTCTGATGGAAAACGCAATGCGACATCCATGTCAGTCATAAGGTACCTGAGTACAGCACGCAAACATTTTCATGGGTCTCAAACGGTTGTGCCTGACCAGTTCCAAGCATGCTGACCAAAATCAACAAGTCTTGACGAGTTTGGCAATACCATGACAAACGACCTAGAACTCTGCGAAAACGTGCATGTCCTTCTGCTGACAATGGTTGGCCTCCTTCCTGTTCCAGAATGGGACGCAAATCCGGAAATGTTGTGCTTCCCTTCTTCAAATCAAACTCAGCAAAAGCTTCATCCAAGTACGTTGGATCCACCTGCATGTACAAAGCAGATGAGCCTGGCCTTCGAAAGATACTTCGACCACGGAAACGCAAGTGTCCCCCTTTTAAACCAACGCGGCCAGTCTCTCGAACCTTGACATGAGCTGATAGGGCAGTCATAAGGGTCTTGAGAGCTGATTCCGTTATTTTTCACTCCACAATTTCGCGCGTTGTTTTTCGGAAAACCAAAAGTTAAAAACAATAAAGTTGACATCACAGCAATAATGGTAGCAACATGTGAACATCTGAGTCAACGCAGAAGCACCTGTTTTACACCGGGGAAAGTTTCTGCACCTTCCGAGATCCAGGGCTCGGGGTGTGGCTCCTTTTAGGAACCAATTTTGACGTGACGTGGGTGGGAAAAATTTGGCTGGTGAAGACAAACTGGGAGGGAAAGACGGAAAAATTCCATCAGAGGGTAATCCCTCCCTCCACACCCTTGAAAGGAAATGTTTCAGATGAAACAAATAACTACCTGATTTCCAAAAAACAAATAACGCGCAGCAGAAACAGTTGGTTTGTTGACACCAGTTTAAAACCAAACCAAATCAGTTTTTGCAAAACGTTGTTGCAGGTGCAAAAAAGGAAAAGTTTCTCAGAGAGAAACTCACATCTTATTTTTCACTCCACAACTCGCGCGTTGTTTTTCGGAAAACCAAAAGTTAAAAACAATAAAGTTGACATCACAGCAATAATGGTAGCAACATGTGAACATCTGAGTCAACGCAGAAGCACCTGTTTTACACCGGGGAAAGTTTCTGCACCTTCCGAGATCCGCCCCAGTCCAAAGTCCAAGGTGGCGTGAAACCTTCTCCCAATCAACGTTGGTTTGGTTCGCACCCTTTGCGAGGACCTGACTGTGATCAAGGCGACTTGGTGAATCTGCAGGGTTGCTGTGACTCGGTACACGGCCAAACCACACGCGGTGTTGTTGTGCCGCCTCGTTTTCAACGAACGATTGCACCAACAAGCTTGCCCTAAGCGTTTCGCCAGTGCCTCGAATATAGGCCATTCTTGCTGACTCATTATCGATATAGTACACCACCTGTGAACAAGTGAAATGGTGGCCCCAAGCAAGTGCTGCAATCAGCACAGGAAGAACTTCAAGTTCATGGATTGGATTCTTTGATCGTCTGAACAAGTCCTCCATTATTGCTGCTGGCACAGCTTCGCCGAAGAAAGAAACATGCTCCAGATGGATCATAAATGACCCCACCAACCGATCCTTTCATGTCTTCCTGGTTGCAGGCGCCGTCCGTGAAGACCAGCCATGTACTGTGTAAGTTTCGCTCAATTTTGAGCGGCCGCCCATCACTTATTCTTTGCTGCAAAGACTTCCGAGCTCTGGTCATTTCAGCATCCAAAGGTTTGGGCTTGTTGGAGCTTCCACAGAAACGCCCCAAAGTCTTGGTGGAGGAGTTGGCAACCCTTCCAAAAGTGAAGCCTTCAAAGAAGATCATCCTGCCTCGGAGCTTCTCAGCATCCTTGGGGCTCAACCCTCCATCGGAGAGCGCTTGTTTCAGCTGAGAACCCAGCTCTTCCTTCCTGCTCTCCGTGTGCCCCACAAATGCTCGTCCCTCACGGAACTCGGACCCGTCCAACGTACGAAAAAGGCTGTCGAAAGGAAGGAACTTCTTTCCTTCTGTTGCATACCTCATACCAAGCAGCGAAAACAAAGACTCACAAGCCCAACTGCTGTTTTGCTCCAACTCAGCCCTCGTAAGCAAGGTGAAGTCATCATAAAAAGCGCTCCAAAGCAAGCACATACCACAAAGCTTGGCTTACCCGAAGGAAACCAGCCACCGATCCCACAGCTCCGAATGGCAAGGAGTTGAAACCTATCACTGCATGAGCTTCCTGCCCTGGTACATTCACACCCATTCTCAAGGTGTCTCTGTCGCCCTCACTAGCGGCAAATTGCTTGTATGCCGACTTCAAGTCGTACGTACGACCTTTCACAGCAGGTATGAGACCAGGGGGACAAGCACGAAAAGCGTGACCCATGATTGCAGCCAAAAAATCGATGGCATGGAGCTTGAACTTCTCATGCAGCCCCACTGTGAGATTTAAACCGCAGCAGGTGCAATCGTCGATCACTCGCACTTTGGAACCCTGATGGATCCCAAAGCGCCTTCCAAGAAACTTGTTGTCAAGATCCTCTGAGTTGTCGAGGAAAATCCAACCTTTGCGCAGCTCTTCCTCTGTCTCTTTCCAAGTCTGTTCTTCCAGCTCTGCATCCTGTCTTTTTCTCAAAGCGTCCACATTCCTGGAGTTGAAGGACCTGCTGAGTTTGCGCAACGTCTCCAAAGAAAAAGCTGGCCTCTTGGACCTCGCACGGAAAACATTTGACTTGGTCATGTAGCCACTCAGTTTGAAACCGCATGCGATGTCATCTATCAACTTGGTGTCAGGATATTTCAGGTCATCCAAAATTTCCTTGAAAAGAACCAAGCGCTTGTCGCCAAGGACACTTCGCACATGTTCCGGCATTCTTTCCCTGAACTTTTCCTCCTCCAGTTTGAAGTCTTTAGCTCTTGCTGTCCACCTTTTCATGAACTCGACTCGTTTCTTGGCCAGACAAAAAGGCGGGTCAACCAGGTTGGCCTTCACGACTGAGGCCATGGATGCATCCACATGGACATCCATCCCACGTGGGTGTCCCGCTCTCAAAGCTCGCTGCACAAAATCATCTGGATCGCTTGGCAAACCAATCCAGCACATTTCAACCATGGCGTCATCTGGCAGCTCCTTTGAGTTGGCAAGAAAATGGTGAGAGAAACCCTCACCCTCGACCCGAATTTTACCCCTTGTCAGAAGCTGTGGAGAGGTGATTTTGCTCCCTTTGGGCTGCTGTCTCAAAAATTCGTCAACACACTGTGACTGTTGTAAAGGTGCAACCGCCGCTGTAAAAGAGCCAAACTCTGCAACCAGCGGCTTCACTTTGACTCCTCGGGGCAGTGAACCGAGGGCAATGCGGCCAGCTGCATCGGCGTCTGGCTGCTGTAGTTGTTGTTCCAAGTTGTTTGATTGGACGGCACCATACGCAAGCACTTTGTGTTTGATGCAATCGATGATACGCTCACACAGCACAAACGGGTATGCCGCCTCATCAGCCGTGGGAAAGGACACATGTTTCCAGAAACAGTGACTTTCCGCGACTTGTGTGGGTGTGATCCATCACACCTTGCATTTAGACTGTCAAGCCAGTCTGAAAGCACCCATACAGAGGTAAGTTTGTCACGTTCACCACCGTGGCGGCAGTTATGAAAACTGACATATTTGTCGCCAAATTCCTCCACAAGGTTCTGCATGGGCGTAGTAACCCAGTAGTGACTATTACCTGGGTTTTCGATAGCAGTGAAAATCTGGGCCCTGCATGAAGTTTGTGCAATTTGTTCGACAGCATCGTACAACATGTTGGCCTTCTCGACCTTCAACTTGTTTGTACCTTCCAGCCCATCAATTTGGTCAGGTTGTGTTTTGGACCTGAGAGATATTGGCTCTGCAATCCCAAAACGTTTGAGCTGGGGCAGCTTTCCTTCACGTGCACGACTGGCTGTCCCGCACGAGGGTGCTATCCAGACTGCTGCAATGTTGTCTGCCTCCTCTTCCAAAAACTTGCACAACTCATCCACTTGGGTCTGATCCTCCAACTCAAAAATGCAAATATCAATGCCACATGATCGACTCGAAGAGTGGTCTATGGCTGAACCATGGAACCCTGCTTCTCTTGCAATTCGAGTGAGCCTTGCACTGCCTGCGCAAATTTCGACAATGAGTACGTCGTTGAGGAGCTTCCCTGCAAATTTATTTCTCTGCTTGGCCTCAAAAGCATTCGGTTCTTGATCTTTGACATGAACCGTAGGAGCAAGTGAAACTGGTGGGGCAACGGGACCAATGTGTTGGACATTGTTGTCTCCTTTTTCACCCCGTTTCTTTTCAGCTGGTTGTTGGAGCCCAGCTGAAATAGGTGATACTGCCTTGCGCTTACCACCTGGCTCCAAAATGGCGCCGTGGCTTCGTTTTGTCAAGCTCCATCACTCTTTGCAAGCCCTCTGCAGACCACCACCGAGTGTCCTGCTTTGTGGCAGTTTGCACAAACGTGGAATCCTTTGGCACATCGAGAGGGCTTTCCTGTTGTGGTATTCTTGCAGCCAGTGTAGAAAAAGCGCCGTGCACAGATCTGCGTTCAGATCCAACGCTTCTTCCAAAATTCCTACAGAACTACGCGGGCGGACGCGCACGTCAACCACGCACACCAAACACAAGCGCAGCGCGTAAGTCCCTAACCTAATTAAACTAAAGCAATACCGTGTCAAAAAGAATGTTTCTGTTCGACATTGTCAATGTAGGTCAGCCAAATACAGTTGTATCGCTGAAGTCTTTCGACCACTGTAATAGCTAATCCACAATGTAGATCAAAGTCGTGTCAAAACAATGTCGTCGTCATAGAAATAACCAAAGTCATCTCAGGAACGATAAAAGGCACACCATAAGATCAAGTGCATGATCCATAGGCCACGATGACGATGATGTAGGTATTGTCCTCACAATACCGAAACATCTCATCACAAAACTCTCAGACAAATAAGATGCCCAAATATGATCATTGCCCTCACAATGCCAATGCATCTCAAGGTCCAAGTTCAAAGCATAATAAGTTCTCTCCATCAGATATTTCCAGCTAGCTTAAACTCTTCTCCAAGAGTTTCTAGCTGTGTTCTCATCACTTGGAGAGAATGAGCTTCACAATACACCGTGTCCAGAAGTGTCGTGGACACAAGAAATAATCTCAATGTCAAACCAATGTAAGTATCTTCAGTTCAGGCAATAAGCCGTACCAGACTCAAGTCGAATCCAGAATAAGATGTAGAACTGATCCATATACCACGATCACTGGTCAACACTGATCAATGACATCATCCTGACGTCAGAAATGATAAGTCCGAAGACCAATAGAATATTGTGACACAGGATGGTCACATACAAGATTCCTTCCGCAATAAGTAGAGTGTTCTCTACCAATCTTCCATGACTTCTTGCAGTAACCTTCCACGTATCCTCTGTGCATAAACTATACAATCAATGATGAATGACATGTCGCTTCACCCTTACCCAAAGGGTGCTCACACAGGGTGTCAAATTTCCATACCCCCTTTCGACATGACATCTCATCCACTTACATCACTGCCAAATACGGATACCAACCAAATATCCGCAGAAAAATGTTCACGGTTCAGATCACATCCATGATCAAAAGATATCCAAAGAAGCCCACGTGCTTCCAAAAAACTCAAGGTAGACGATAAAGCATCATCCAAAACTCATCTCGTTCGACTCATGCATAATGTCGTAACTTCCAAATTCAAAATCTTCTCTGTCGCGAAAGCCAGATGTTGGAATACCAGGCTCAATCCAAAGACTCCTAAAGTCTTCCCAGTATTAAGCTCGTCTTCCAAGATCCAGTTCCTCGGATAAACCATGGCGTCGATAACAATATATCTACAGTGCTGTTGTCTTCCTACAACAAACAAAACAACAACAACAGAACAAAACAAAACAAACACACACACACACACACGAGACCCAAGACGAAACCTAACGTCGCACGATCAGAGTCAACGAAAACAAAGGCCAACTGTTTCAGCTAATCCGCACCTTCGTGAAGAAGGTAGGCGTATGAAAAGAAAACGCAAGTGAAATAATATCACTCATGCAACTCATCTCAAATTCAGAGCAAGCGAAGTACAGTTCACAGTCACTGCACACCAAATTCAAAATGTTCTGAATGAGAATCTCTCACCGTCAGGGTCAAGACTAGCTAAGATTGGCACAGAATGAGGAAGCTGTGAGAGCTATTCTGTCCATAGATTCAAACAAGACATATCACACCTCCGAGATCTTTAGGATGGATCAGACGTTGAAAGGGTGTGTAATATGTTTGCAATCATGGCATCAGATTCCCCCGGAAGATTTTCCGATTACTTAAACTCAGATTCCATCCGAGTTTCTTCCCAGGTTCTCATCATGTACCATGACAACACAATCATAACAAATGTTCGTGGAAACACTCCCAACATCAAGTTCCATGTTTCAAAACAAAACTCAAGACATGCACACAACAACTCAAACATGGGAAATATCGCAATCAAACCAATCAAGAACAACCTCAACCTTTCTTCATGATGTCTCCCTCAGATCTGCCAGCAACTCCGAGTTCTGAATGCCTTCAAGAACGTTGCTCTCGCTATCGTCATTGAGAGACATATGACAACAAAACGAACCTCAAACAACCAAAAAATATGCAGACAAAACTGTATCTACTGCGTCAGTCGGCGTGTCTTACCCCCCTTTTAAACTCAAACTCGATGCCTGCGCTCAGCCATGCCGTCATTTCTGAAAACAACAAGTGAACCTCGAGTTGACAAAATCAACTATTCTCTTGTCGTTAGACCAGGCAAATTCCAGTGCCTTTGGCACTTTGCTCAGGTATAGATATCAGGGGTATACCCTGCGGTATTCCCGCGTCCCCTGTATCTGCATATACCCCAGAGGGGAGAACGCTGCCGTCCCCGTCAGAGGATCGTGACGTGGTGTGGGTGAAACAGATCTGATACGCCTTGTGACGTCCTCGATCACCTGAGTAGGTGGTGATTTCATGTCTTTCACCTCCAAAGCCAGGGGAGAACTCATTGGTACTTCACCCATCCTTGCCGGGCTATACCCTGCGAACCTCACCGTCGCCAACGTCGGTGGTGCTGGGATTGCAGGTCTTGGCGGCACTGCCGGTGGCGGTGGGAGACTTGTGCCAGGTGCAGCCGGCGTCATAGGTGCCAATGGTGGACTGCTCTGTGACATGCCAGGATGACCCATGGGTGGTTGCGGAGGATCATATGCTGGAGGTACCTCTGGCGGTGGTGTCCCCTTTTCAATCCTCTCAGCAACCAGCTTCATATTTTCTTGTAGCTTGTCCATTGATTCGTGGAGCTGGGTCATGATGTCCTGCAAAGATTGGTCTCTTTCCATGCGACCTTTCTTGTTGTCTTTGAGCACGTCCTTCATCGAGACGTCCAGCGACCACTCCAGATGCTTTTTCAATTTGGTAAATTCACCCACGACTGCACCCACCCTGCTGGTGTTGTGGTTCACACCAGCAGCCAGTGATTCTGATGCACGTGCCATGTTATTGACCGCTGCTCCAACGGCTTCCAGGGACCTGCAAAGGTCATGCTGAAGAGTATGGGTACTCTTAATGAGGGTCTCAAGTTTGTCCGTTGACCCTTTCAGCGGAGCGACCATCGAAGTGATTCCCACAGCCAAGCCTGTGGTAGAATTGAGCAGGTCTGTCGCTTCATTGGGATCAAAGGACTCATGCCTTCTCAACCTCGGAGATCTCGATCTGTCATCGTCTCTTCCAGCATCTCCTTCCTCCTTGTCTTCCTTGTCATCTCCATCCACATGGATAGTATCCTGTTCTTTCTCTTTCTCGGAATCCGTCTCAACAGCTCCTCCCTGTGCCGACAGCGCTGGATTCTCAGACACAGGAAACTCTACACCCTCTGCCGCTGGAACTGCTGGGGCTGCTGGAGCTGCTGGGGCTGCTGGAGCTGCCGCGTTCGCTGCCATGAATTGCTCGAGTCTCCTAGACAAGGCCTGATGCACCCGCTGGGATAAGCCGGGGCCCAAATACAGCTTGGGCATAATCTGCAATTCAACTTGACAATCCATCT